ATATAAATATAATATAATTAGATATAAAGAAATAAGTTAAATATAAATAGAATAAGAAATAAATATATGAGATAAAAGAATATATATAGAGATTTCTTTAGTATCTAATATCTAGATATCTAGTATTTAAATATCTAATATTAAACCGAATTAGAGAATATAAATATATGAAATAGAAGAATATTATAAGAAGAAAAGTTATATATAAAAAACTATAGCCTTTAGTATATAACTAAAACCTTAAAAATAATATAAATATATAAAATATTTAAGAGATCTAGTATTAGGCCGGATTAGAGAATTTATATATAATTAGAAAAAAGTACTATTTTTCTATTTTTCGCGTTTTTAGAAAAGGTTTTAATATTAATATAGCTATAATTATTAATAGTTATATAATATAATTATATAATATAGAAATAACTAAAGATAATAAAATATAAATAATAATTATATAACTTTATATTATATTAGTAATTCGACTAATAACTAGTTTCTATTAGACTTAATAAATTTAGAAATTATATATTAATATTATAATACTATAATTCTTATTTCTAAATAATTACTTTACTAATTTATATAAATAGTATTTTATAATTATATAATAGTATTATATATTTCTAGTAAACTAATAATTATAAAACTTTTAAAAAAATATTTTTATAACTTATAAGTTTTTTATTTTTAAATATCTTAAAATATATTTTTTAGTAATTTATTTTTCTAAAATAAATATTAATATTATATATAAAAAGCTTTTAATAATAAAGAATTATAAAAGAATATTAATAATATTAAAGAAATAAAAAAAGAAATTCTAATATATTTATTTTTAAAACTATAAAAAATACTAAATTTTAAAAGTATAATAAATTTAATTTTTATAAATATATTTTTTAAAACTTATTTTATAATTTAAAGAAATTATTTAAAAATATTAGAAATATTAATATTAAAAATATTAATATTAAAAATTCAAATAAATCTAATTTTTTAATAAAATTCAAAGCTATTAAAGCCTTATTATAACTAGTATAAAAGCTTAATATCTAGTATTTTTCTTAAATAAATAAATAATATTTCAATTTAAATTATTTAAATAGTTTTTTATTTATTAAACTAGTATAAAATAAACTAATTAGAAAAAAAATATATAAAATTTTAATTTTTTTTTAGTTTTTATTAAATATATTTAAAAAACTAATTACTTTAAACTTTGAACTTTTTATTATAAAAATAAATAATTAAATAAAAATAAGAAAAAACTATAATAAATACTTATTTATATATAAATAATATAGTTTTTTAAAAAGAAAAATTATATTTAGCTTTTTATTTTAATACTAATAAGATTAAAGTTTCTAGTATTATAATTTATAAAAGTAAACTAATTCTAATTTAAGTTATTTTTATTAAAAAAATTAAAAGTATTAGAAATTAATAAATAATAATAATTTATTTTATATTATAAACTTTAATAAAACCCCGAATAAATAATATATAGAATTATATATTAAATAACTTTAAGAAACTTTATAAAATAAAAACTAGTAAAATTTTCTTTTAATAAATAAAGAAATACTAATATTAGTAATTTATATTAATATAATAAATAGAAAATAGAAGTTTTTCTTTTCTTTTATTTATTTTATAAAACTAATTTCTTTTACTTTTTATTAGAAAACAAGCTATTTAAATATTATTTTAATACTAGTTTTAAATTAAATAAAAAATATTATAATAGTTATAATAAATAATAAATATAAGCTAATTTCTAATAATAATATAATTATTTATTAATATTATAATAATAATATATAAATAAATAAAGAGGAAAAGAAATATAATATAAGTAGCTAAAGCTTAAATATAGAAATATAATTATATAAGCTTATATATAATTACTAGTATATAGTTACTATATAATAATTAATTTAAATAATTAGAAATAAATCTAAAAAATCTAAATTTAAATTTACTAATACTTTTAATAAAATTATTTAAATTACTTTTTATAAATTACTTTCTTATATTTATATCTAATAAATTAAATATAAAAGAAGAAATTATAATAATTCTAGGTTTTATTTTTTCTATTTTTACTAAAGATTTATTATTTACTTTAGAAATTCTAATATTTACTTCTTTTTATATATTAATATATTTCTTTTAATTCTAATTAGTTTTTAATATTTCCAAGCCTTATATATTAAATATTTCGAGTTTCTTAATTCTTAAAATATTAATATCTCTAGCTTTTAAATTATTTATTACTAGATTCTTAATAACTAAATCTTTATTTATTACTTTTTAGAATTCCTTATTTAATATTTCTCGAAATTAGTTTAATATAAAAAAATATATAAAAGAAAAATATTAGAAGCTAGTAGCTAAATAAATAAAAAAGTATTTAAAGAGAAATAATAATAATAAAATAGCTTATTAAAAAAATTAAAACTTATTTTATTTAAATTATTTTAAATTATTTTTATATTTTCTATAATTAGAATTATTTAGAAATACTAGTTTTATTTAATATTATTCTTAAATATAATTATATAATATATTATATATATAATTATATATAAAAATATTATAATAATATTAATATTAAAAATATTAAAAAAGTAAATAAAGAATTTATAATTATTATATATATTTTATAAAAGACCTAAACTTTTAAAATTAAATCCCAAATAATTATAAATATTATATTATTAATATTTTTAAAAATAAACTTTATAATATTTCTTTAAGAAATTAGTAAATATTTAAATATATTAGAAAGACTTATTTTTGAAATATTAATTTAAATAATACTTTTATTAGTTTTATTAAAATAAAAAGTAAAATTCCGAAGTTTAATAAACTTTTTTAGTTTTTGAAAATCTAATTAATAATATTATTTAAAATATATTTTAAGAAATTTTTAAAAATTATAATAATATTTTTCTAAAACTAATAAATTTCTAATAAATAATAAGAAATCTAAAATTATATTAGCTTTAATAAATATTAAAACTAAATAATTTATTAATATATAAGATTTAAAACTCTTATTATAATATATAAAATAAGGAAATTAATAAGTAAATACTTAAAATATTTCAAGTATTTATTAGTAATAAAAAAGAAAACTATAAGATTATTTTTATATTTATTATAAAAACAAATAATAAAACTAGATATTATAAAAATAATTAAAAATAATTAAAGAAAACTTAAAAAGAGAAAAAAAGAAACCTTAAAAAGAGAAAAAAAGAAACCTTAAAAAAAGTTATTATATATATAATTATTAGAAAAAAGAATAATATATAATAATATAAAGAAATCCTTTTATAAAAATAAAGAACTACTTAAATTAATAATTTATTTTTATATTAGTTCTAATTAGAAATTAATATAATTAATTAATATATATTTTTAAAAGCCTATAAATAATTTTCAGAATTCTAGAAATATATTATTTAATTCTTTCTATAAAGCTATTTAAATTATATTAATATAAAATCTAATAAATAATATTTTAATACCTTAAATTAAACTAATTAGAATAATTAATTCTTAAATAAAATTATAATTATTAGCTAGTTCTTATATCTAAAATATAGTAATTATTTCTTTTTACTTTTTTAGCTTTAATCTAATTAAATAATTTTTATATTTATTATTTAAATTTTAAAAATAAAATTATATATAATTAAAAAATATATAATAAACCTTAAATATTATAAATATTAATTAAAGAGATTAATAGCTCTTTAATATTATATTTATATTATAAGTTTTTAGTTTATAAATTATTATATATATTATTAGAAGCTTTTATTTAGAAAAAGCTTTTCTAAATCTTATAAAAGAAATAGAAATTAGTTCTATATATAATTTAATATTATAATTTAATATTTTATTTTAATATTTTATTATTTTAATATTTTATTATTATTTAATTATTATTATTTAATTATTATTATTTAATTATTATTATTTAATTATTATTATTTCATTATTATAATTATAAGCTTTTTTTATATAATATTAATATATTTTAAAAGCTTTAAAATTATTAATTAATTAATAATAATTCCGAAAACTTCTAATAAAAACTTTATAATTTTATTTTAATATAATTAATATATTTTAGCTATAAATTAATAAATAATTTATTTTATATAAAATATAATTATTTTCCGGAAATCTTCTAAATAATATATAATAAATCTTCTAGTAATAATTCGTTTCTAATAAATATATTATATAAATAGTAATATTAAATCAATAGCAAGTTATTAAAGATAAATTTTATTAATAATAACTTTAAAATTATATAAATGTTATGATACCGGGCTCTAGGCTTGGAAAGCAAAGTAGAGTGGCTCTTAATCCGAGGATTCTAAACTAAGGAGGGAAGCTCGTATGTACAGGAGCTTTGGTGTTCTAAATACTAGCCAGCCGTATGCGTCATCGGTGATCACGTGACGCTAAATTTCCTAGTGAAGCGGCAGAGCATAACAATGAAATATATTCGATTTATTTAATTATATATAGTAGTAAGTAAATACCGGGCTTAAATACTAATATTATTAGGAAACTAAAGATTACTATATTCTATTATTTAATTAACTTACTTTAGAATCTGGAGTTATTATTATTAAGTAATTCGCAATTCAGTAATAATAGTTTATATGCAATGCGGCTCCTAATGCGGTTTTTGAAGCTCGGTAAAAAATAGTGTTTTAAAGCTAGTTTCGCCTACTGCTGTAGGACACAAAGATTATGACTGCAAATCTTAGCGCGTACCTTGACCCTTAACGAGATCATACCTGTAATACTGATCTAAGAAGTGCCTTTCCTGGGACAGATCGCTCATGTCGCGGGATTTGGTCATATGATCTTCTGAAATCCCGTTCCGTTGATTGAGCTCTGAGGCGGTTTGGTGAACGGAAAGAGGCGCAATAGATGCTTCAAATACATTCAAAGACGTGAGTGCACCGGGCAAACGAGGAGGCTGATCTGCAATGTCGAGAGGAGGACAAGGGCGATGTTTTGGAGCACTGCAAATAGTCAGTAGTGCACGTTAACGGAGCTGGGCTGTATGTATTACCATCATGACCAATTGTCGCTAGCAGTGGGAGAAAGAACGCGGACAGAAGTTCCTCCGCTTGTTCAATTTTGTCTCTTATGCTAATAGTCGTTAGCGCGACGTCAAGTCCGACTATTAGATCCGTCTCTCCTCGTCAATGGCGGTATTTTGTCAAATGCTAGGCTCCTATCGGGGTCCAAATACCTGGCCGGTTGCCAGATATTCGTACCATCCGCGAGGAAATCATCCCAGTGTACCTCTTCCTGTCGTCTGACGGCATCGTGATATTCTTTAGCAGCATCATTTGCTTGCCATGCCACTTCGAGAAACACGTGGCCCAGTCGCCGTTGAGTTCCAAACAATTTCTGTAAATAAACTTCGGTGAATCAGTCACGATCAGATGGCTTGTCCAGCCTTTTCAGGTCGCGCTCGGCAAGTGGCCACTTCGTGGCTATGGTGTCGCTTAGGCACAATACAGAACACCATATTCGTTGCTTCCATTCAGCTCGGCTTTCCAACCAGGGCTGAGAAAAGGATTTCGGGGCTTGAGTCAGGGAAAACACGAGGAGGTGTGCCGAATGCTGGAACCAATCAAGTGGTTTAAGGCCAGGAATATGCTCCGCCTCTCAGCCCTACAGGTAGGCTTTTCGCTGTTCATGAGCAGGCTTAACGCACTGGCGACTGAGTCTCGCATCCTTGTGAACTGTATTATTTATAGCACAGCATACTTGCCGTACCATAGTGGGCTTGTGGGTATTTTCCGTGATTTGGTCGATCAGAGACAAGCCAAGGGCTGTGGAAGAGGCTCAGGAAGACAGGATCAAAAGCTGACATGACGCCGGGTCAGCCATTCAGCAACATATTTCGAGGCAAAACTATACTTCTTAGCTGTGCAAAAGATTTTATAAAAGGACCCCACTTCCCCCAAGATATGGAATCATTTCCCAATACTCCAGGCTTCACCTCCCACACTGAGCATCTACATTCAATCCACCTCCAGTAATTCAACTCCACCACTCCAACCCCTTTTCTACCAGTTTTAACACCATATCATTCAACTCCAACGAAATGGTTTCCTTTACCACCTTCGCCTCCGTCATCTCTATGGCTCTCTTCGCCAGCGCCGCCCCAGCCGTCATGGAAGCAAGAGGCCCACCACCACCAACCTGGTCCGCCCTCGACTTCGCGCTCTTCAAGGCCGATGCCGGCCAGGAGTACCAATGCTATAACAATGTTGCAGACCTCCACGTACCGCCTACCGATCTCGGAAACTGCCACACGGCACCTACTTTCTACAATGCCAGAATCTGGGATCAGGCTTGGGGTTATACCTGTAAACGTATGTTGTTGCCTCTCAAAATACTTTCTTTGAAGAGACTTGCTGACGGTGATTGTAGTTGAGGTTTATGGTAACGGTGCGTGCAATGACCCGCCTGTGGGCACTATTTTGCCTAATGACTTCTCCTACCCTTGCAAGTTTCCCGGGGGCTCGCTTGTTGCGCTCAACTCTTGGAAGGCGACCTGCACCTGGTAGGTGCAGATCGCGGGTACATTGGATAATGGAAGAGGGCCGGGCATCGGACATCGGGCGTTAGAGAGAGGCAGTATAAGATGGGTTAGGAGTCCTAATGAGTTAAGCGTTTCTGGGTTCTTGAGCATGTTTGATGGCACTTTATGTATCTTCAGCGTTTTCCCAGCGTTTTAGTGTTAAGGTAGCTTAGAAAGGAATTATATTTGAGTTTCATTTAGAACTACGTCTCTTTCATACGAGGCAAAGAATACTCATATCTATAGGCAGATGTATAAAAACAATGTCTAAACATCTACAGGCGGATATAAACTCCTTACTTATAATGACCTCCGGCTCCGGTTCATGGTGAGAAGCTACAGTCGACTGACAGGAGGACGCCCTTGCAAAACCACACGCCACCGATCATTAAAGCAGGGGCCTCCATCTTAGGAGCTGTTGGGTCTGTTTCAGACGATGAGAAAAGGAGAGGTGCTACTGCTATAGCTTTCAAATCCCACCAATTGCCTCCCGCTGCTCACCGTAGTATGGCATAGAACTAATCATGAAAAGGAAATTCCCCATGTGGTGGAAGGAAACGGAGCTGCTGCTATTGCTACTGCAACGACAGATACGGAGGAGACTGCGGTAGAATCCGAAGGAGAAACCGAGGGAGATATTGCCTCATTAGGCAATGGGCAACTTGCCATTTTGATATTTGGTTTTTGTGGAGCTACGTTTGCGGTTGCTTTTGGTGAGTGGTTGTCCTGTCACCTCACCTCACCTTGTTGCTTTCCGAGGAATCGTTATCTTGATCATAGGAAGACTGTGAGAACTCGCTTGAAAGTCCAAGAACGGCTGAATAATGATCCGGGCTTATATGTCACTGATGAAAGATACTAACTGCTTTAGACAACACGATTATAGCTACGGCCATTCCCAAAATCACCTCGGCCTTCGACTCACTGCAAGATGTGGGCTGGTATGGTAAGAAGATTATTTTAGTGTTTCGTTTACTCTATGGCATCTAACCCGTCTATAGGTTCATCTTATCTTCTTACGGCCATAGCACCCCAGCCTTTATTTGGACGAATTTATACATATTGGCTCTAGTTATCTTCGAGCTCGGATCCATTATGTGTGCTACTGCTCGGAACTCTATAGTGCTTATCATTGGACGCGCTATAGCAGGTGCCGGAGCAAGTGCCCTCTTCTCTGGTGCAATAACTATTGTGGGCTTTACTACCCCGTTAAACAAACGGCCAATCTATATGGCTTCTATTTCTAGCATGTTCGGCATTGCTTCAGTAGTAGCGCCAGTTCTAGGGGGTGTATTTACTGATAAGGCAACCTGGAGATAGTGCTTCTGGGTAAGTTTCTATTCTAATTCTCATGGAATATTACTTACTAATTTGATAAATTAACTTGCCCTTTGGTGCCATCGCTTTAAGAATTGTGTTCTTTTACTTCAAACCTCCTAAGCGAAAGAATAGCGGCCTGACTACTATGGAGCAGATCCGAGAATTCGACCTTATAAGTACGGTATTCCTAATATATGCTATTGTGTGTCTTCTATTAGCACTACAGTGGGGAGGATCGAAATATGCATGGAAAGATTCCAAAATCTGGGGCTGTATCCTAGGATTTGGCCTCCTTATTATCGTCTTTATCATACTACAATCCGGCGGAGTGAACGGGCTATAATCCCGCCGCGAATATTTGGCCAGCGAACTGTATTCTTTGCATGCTTATACTCGTCTTTCATGTCTATGGGCCTATACGTACGTCTGAAATTCCATCCCTTGCCAGCGATTCAATTATACTAATAATTCTTGATAGGCACACATTTTCTTCCTGCCGCTTTACTTCCAGGTCGTAAAAGGAACTACTGCCGAGCAATCCGGTATCCGCAATATCTCGTATCTTGGGTCTATAATAGTTTCCTCGATTATTATTGGAGGTGGAATTACGGTTATCGGGTGGTATAAGCCATTTTTAATTATCAATGGTATTATATTTACTATCGGAGCCGGAATGATTTAGGCCCTGTTTCGCAACTTTTGAATGCTAGCATTTGGTCAGGAATCGAACACTAGCTTTCGATTATTAGGAATTTTAGTGTTTCGTAAATTTTTGTATGCTAGCAACCAAACACTGGTATTCGATTACCAGTATTTGCTCCCATATAAATCGCAGTTTTTTCAGAACCACCTACCATAGGTGGTTCTGAAAAAACCGAGTATTTGGATACTGGCTTTTGTCCTTTCCAACTACCTTTATAGCACTTCTTAAGACACAATATTTTAATTATTATATTAATATGGCGCTTCTCGTATAATTTTTGTTGTGAATTCTTTCTTAGGCCCTGTTTCGCAACTTTTGAATGCTAGCATTTGGTCAGCAATCGAACACTAGCTTTCGATTATTAGGAATTTTAGTGTTTCGTAAAATTTTGTATGCTAGCAACCAAATACTGGTATTCAATTACCAGTATTTGCTCCCATACAAATCGCAGTTTTTTCAGAACCACCTACCATAGGTGGTTCTGAAAAAACTGAGTATTTGGATGCTAGCTTTTGCCGTTTCTAACTACCTTTATAGCGCTTCTTAAGGCATAATATTTTAATTATTATATAGATATCGCGCTTCTCGTGCAATTTTTATTTTGAATTCTTTCTTAATATGAAAGCTATAGTAAAGTAATTAATTAATTAAATATTTTCGCCTTAGTAGAGAAATAATTATTAGGCTATAATACCCTATAAATATAGGGAGTAATCACTAAAGAAAAGTAAGCCTTGAGATTTGAGATTATCGGAGATTACTCTGAAACTTCCGTAATTGCGATGGTTATTGAGTATTTGTATTTTGCGAAACACCTCTAAATTATATGAATACTAGCTTTGAATACTGAGTATTGAACGCTAGTATTTGGTTGTTGGCGAATGCTAGCAATCAAAAGACGTGCGCCCGTGCGAAACAGGGCCTTAATAGGAAAGCTATAGTAAAGTAATTAATTAATTAATTACTTTTGCCTTAGGAGAGAAATAATTATTAGGCTATAATACCCTATAATTATAGGGAGTAATCACTAAAGAAAGGTAAGCCTTGAGATTTAAGATCACCGGAGATTATTCTGAAACTTCCGTAATTGCAATAGTTATTGAGTATTTGCATTTGCGAAACACCTCTAAATTATATAAATACCAGCTTTGAATACTGAGTATTGAACGCTAGTATTTGGTTGTTGGCGGATGCTAGCAATCAAAAGACGTGCGTCCGTGCGAAACAGGGCCTTACACACTTCAAATTCCATCTGGAGCTGCGAAATGGATTGGATATCAATTGCTAAGTGATTTCGGGGCCGGTGCCGGAGCTCAAATCCCTTTTATCGCTGTTCAAGTCGTGCTAAGCGCTAAAGATATGCCAACGAGCAACGCCCTTGCTAGCTTCTTCAATTCTCTCGGCGGAGCAATCGCAATTTCAATAGCTCTAGTTGCAACATAGACTAGAAGAGAGTTCATGGAGGCTTCTACCTATGGAAAATATCATCCCGAGATTCCATAATAACAACAGCATTACGGTTGCCCCATCAAACAATCTTAAGACCCCTTCAAGTCCTGCAAAGCATATTCTCTACCTCCTCCCACCTCTCCTTTCCAACACATGGCTTACACCAAAAGACGTCCTCCGGATCGACCCTCGTCTTAATCTCTAAAAGCCTCTCATAATTCTCGCCCCAAAACGCCTGTTGGAAACTAGGCTCACTTGCATCAACTTCGTTCACAAATGCGCCCATATCAGGAGCCAAGGCCCGTAGGGCAGCCACATAAGAGTTTGTCAAGAGGCCCTCCTGCTCAGCTTGTGCTGCTGGGTCGAGAGCGGGCCAAGTCACCGAATTCGCTATTTATGGCAGTCATTTGAGCACCATACTTTTGGATTTTGATTGGGGATAGAGGCCACTTACTCAAATGCACAATCGTCTTCCCCCAAGCGGGATTGGCAGCACTTCCTCCTGGAGGCACAAAACTGTTAACCTTTCCGCCAATCAGTACACTCTGCCCGCCAGTATCATGAGCGAAGATCTTCAATGCTGCTTGCAACGCAGCTAAATTTGCTGTTAAAGCCTTCTCGTCCAGAAGCCTCGATAAATGGCCTCAGTATGAGTAGATTTTCCGCTTTTGATACTCATGATATCAGACCTAGTCGAGAACCGCCAAGCCTCGGCCACTATGAAGTGAGGCCCCCTCTCATGTCCTCACCAGCTCTTTCGCATTGAAAATAGAATTAGGTTATATTTTATATTTTCCACCCCGATGTTGATTCTTGAGCTAGATCCACATCTTCTCTTGTCTGACAAACGACCTTCCAGACCTCCATCCCATTTCCTACGACCAGGATTTTACCGCCATGATTGTCTACCGCAAGTGAAGCTACATCCCCGACGTCCGCTACAGGGGTAAAGGCATCTCCTATCCTTTTGATATCGAGCGACAAGTTTCCCCTGCGATCGTTGTCCAAGTTGACACTCCACACCGTGATCTTTTGGTCGTTGCCCGAGGAGGCGAGTTTGACGCTCCCTTCCCGACACCCCGTCGCATGATTATGGAGAAAGCAGAGACCTGTGACAGCAGCAGCATGGGCTGATCTCAAAATAAAACAAGGTGGCATGGCAGTCGCCATCGAGCTGGAGATTGGGAATACCGAGATACCGAGAGCGTTGTCATCACCCCCGGTGGCAATCAGAATCTCTTCGTTGAACCTCATTAAATCTAGAGATTTGATCGCGCTTTGGTGGATCCTCCGGACCGAGACCAGAGTCAGTTGGACTGGTTCTGGTAGACCATTTCTCGGGACTGAGTCGAAACATCCCTTCCAAAGAGCGAGCCTGCCGTCCGTTGCCGTTGTGAAAATATAGGCCTCATCGTCCTTTATCTGAATATGACGGATCTGTGTGAGACAAGAAGATGTATACCTCCCAATGCAAACTAAGTGGAAGGAGTCGAGGCCGGAATAGATGTATGTTCGGATAGTTGAATCTGAATAGGCCAGGCTGACAAGGAGCCGGGGATCTTTTTGGACACCCGATAAGTTTGGCAACGCAGTAACGTGGAAATTCATGACTCTTAAGTCCCTATCCTCACTTGGATCAGGACAAGTTGCCTCACAGACGATGCCAATGCCAAAACCAGGAATCTGTTCCACTGCCCAAACGAAGAATTCCTCGTTGCCGCCACTACTGAACAGGTATCCTGACCCGTGCCATTGCAGATGCTGAATGCCAGCGGAATGTCTCTGTATGACTGCTGAACAGGCCAGAGGGTTTTGAAAATTTGGAGTTTTGCTGTGTTGCCAGATTCGTATGGCAGTATCTTCTGCCCCAGTTGCGATCAAACTCTGATCTTCAGATACTGCACAGGCTTTGATTTCTCGTCCATGACCGCCTGCCTTGACGATTTTGTGCGACGAACCCCGGTGAGAATGAAGGTATATCTTTGAGGCTTTCGTATAAACAAAATGACCACAGCCTGAACCTCTTATGGGTGAGTAAGCATAACTCCTATGGGAGCCACCACACTCAACACTCGTAACCTCGCACTGCTCAGTCTCATCCCATACCACAAAATTCTTGCCCTTGAATCCACGGAGGAAAAGCTTTTCGCCTTCGAACCAACCTGCCTCAATTATAAGTCTGAGCGGTGGTGCGCACTGGTGAACCCGGCGAACCATAAGTTGAGCCGCATTCATGCTAATATCTTGAACGATGGTGGTTGAGAAGATGGAGTAAAGGCCATCCCGGCTGGTAGTTAAAAAATACCTCGAGCCATCGTCTCCAGAGGCATCTGAAGATGGAAGGCTCGTGATGGCTGTAATGGCATCCCTCGGAACACTTCCAGGATGCGTCCAGATCTGGAGAGGCGATTCAGGGCTTCTGGAAGTATATAGAGCCAACGAGCCCGACCTAGATCCCATAACTAACATTCGGTTAATATTTCCAGCACTCGTAACCACGAATTTATTGGGCAAGTTGTACACTCCATTCTCAACGAGCCGCACCTGTGCTCCCGATAAATCAAGAGAGAAAAGCATTGCATTCGTTCCGCCTAGAGTCGTGACAAGTAGCTCAAAAGAGGACCTTTGTGAATCAAAGATTTTGAACATATCTGCAACCTTCCCCTCAACTTGTCCTAATTTGAGGAGTCTCTGGTGGCGATAGACATGGATGCTCCCATTAGTTCCAGCGAGACATGTCACACCTATCTCCGGAAACCCCACGAGAACAGAATATGACCGAAGATCTCCTGATCCTGACTCGGGAAGACTGACTTCGCTCCAATGCATCTCTGGGCCAATGTCACAGAGCAGAACACGGCCATACGTAGTAGTTGCAAGCAACTCCTTCTCCGAAACGAAAGCGTATTGATTGAAGCCATCTTTACGAACCTTCTTCGGTTTCATTTTCTCTGTTTGATTTCCATTAGTAGCTTCCGGCGAGTCCGGATGCGAGGCATTCGAAATGGGGTGCTCGATGACCGAGTTTCGGACAAGGCTTTTAAGTGCGAAGTCTTCCAGAATTTCATCAAGCTCCCATGATCTGCCCCAGGTCAACTCATCTGATGCTCCTTGCTTACCAAGAGATGGCGGGCTAGTGTCTCCCCGCAACGGAGTCTCGACAGCAGCCAGCCAGCTTGGGGTCGTAACCTTGTAGCTCGAGATTTTGCCATCTGCACCTCCAGTAATCAGGATGGCTTTCGAATGCCCGCTTCGGCGCACAGCTGTAGACCAGATGTGTTTTCCGCTGTGGAAAGCAAACGTGTGCAATTGATCGAGCCTCCCAGATGACCGTGGATGAGATGTTGGTGCAGTTGTCTCAAAATGTAAAGCCCATTGCTGTACCGCCGAATCCTCTCCAAACGAAAGTATGCTAATTGCAGAAGCATCGAGGGGTGTTGATTGTTCTCCGAGAAACCTGACTCGCCAAATTCTCGAGGCGTGGCCCATCGCCATGGCCAAGTACGACTTACTGCACCCGGTGTGAATTCCATTCTCACCAAATCCAGTCTCGCGGGCTTGCACCGCGGTAGCTGTGCGCTGACTATCCTGTGACTCCGCACTTAGATTCCACACCCGGATTGTGCGATCATCACTGCAGCTTGCCAGTAATCGAGTAATGCCATGTGAATCAATGATAGGTGGGGAGATATTGACACCAAAAATTGAACCTTCATGGCCTGTAAAGGTAAAAAGGATCCGGCTTGTCGAGGAAGACGCCTCATCTGATGGAAAGCAATGCCAAACAAGAATTTCACCAAAGACGGTTCCAGCAGCCACCAGGACTTGGGAAAGAGATTCCCAAGCGAGATGCGCAGAGTATAGAATTGACCTTGACGGCGAGTGCAGCGTCTCTAACACGTGTGCCTGTGGGGAATGACCAAGTCTTGCTCGAATGACTGTATTGTGCGCAGTGACAAGGACACAGCTAACCGCATCGAAAGGCGAAATGGCAACGTCAAGGATCCAATCTGATACTGGTATTGCAAAATCTATGACTGAACCCACATTTTGATCTAAGATCTGGTCAAATTCTCGCCTCGAAAGCAGCGTTAGGCTCGACCGGCCCCAGATGACGACCTGTAGGTCGAGTCCATGGTCGACATCATCTCGAACAGCGATACCATGAATGGTTTGCCCGTGGAATATCTCGCACTGGTGGAGCAGTTTGGCTTCTTTGGCGTCGAATATTTTCAGAAACGGGCCTTCTCCAGCGAGAATAAGAAACGTGCCTGCTCTGGTGTGATAGAATTCCAACGCAGTGATAGGGTTCACCAAGTGATCATGCTGGGTATGTTTAGAGGCGGCTTGAATGGTTTAATGGGAAGAGATGTCGAGACTGACCTTGATCGATATCGACATCGACATCGAGACACTTTCGTTGGCGGTTGTGGTTGATGGAGATGGAGGTTCTGGTCGTAAGGTAGGGCAAGGCGAGAGAAAATTATTGGCGAGCGTCGGTCGGGCTCGGGGTCGGGGCGGGGGATGGGACAAGGTTGCGAGTTAGCGAACACGTGCCTACCCGCCCAACCCCTGATTCCAGCCCGCACACTACAGCAGGCTAACCGAGCCTTTGGAACAACACCAGGGAGGCCATTTTTGCTCCTTCGAGGCTCGGCAAGCGACCAAGTTGCGTGGAGGAGGACAAAAGAGGAGATCTCGATGCGAGACCCAGGGTCAATCTGGCTGCGTGCTGACTCACAAACAGGACGGGAAATAAAATAACTGTTGTTCACGATGACGTACCGAATCCTCTTATCTGAGGATCGCTCACCCATCACGATCAAAGTACGGATACCAAACCAAATATTTCCAGCAGGCTGGAAGTGCCACAGAAAATAGTTTAGTAAGCTCGTTTGTGGTATCACGTGTGATGTGCTTGCAGGGCTGTCGTTCCCGTCACCTCTAGCTCCTTTTCCTTCTGCAGGGTCTTTTGTTTCATGCACCGGGCGCGTCATCGCCGCCAAACAATATCCACACCGAGGCAGCGACACGTGAAGGCAGCATGTACTGTACAGTATGCAAGCATGCAAGCAGGTCACAGGCCACAGTAGTGGCGTTGTTGACGACGCGAAACACCTGCTTGAATAAAGCAACATGACTACTGGCACATGCCACCTCAACCCCATCCATCCTCACGACGACACCTCCATCCTAATTTTCCACCTCCGGAGATTCGCATGTGCTTCGCCATCTGCCATGACAAACCCCCTTCTCTCTTCCTTCGCAGCCCCGTCTCGACCTCGCCCTCGCCCTCATTCAACGATCCCGACCACTAGGCTGCAACAAAACTGTTGAGCCCCTCTATGTTCTCGTCACCCTTGTCGCATACTTCGAATACAAGGGCATCGGAGTTGGCAGGTCGTTTGGAAAGTCAGAGGATCTGCCCCAAGCAACCGCCATGATCGGAACTTCGAAACTCGAGTATTACTTTATTATATCCTGCATCGTGGGCTTGCACTATCTTGCGCCCATATGCCTACTCTATTGCGTCTTCGTCATAAGCCTCTATGGCTTCAAGGCTGCAACCTATAGATTCCCTCTGCTCATCGAATCAGTAGCCGTTGCCGAATCTCTTTTCTATCTCCTAGTTTTTCTCCCCTACCGTTTCCATCTTCAGAAGGAAGCTGTCCACCCACCGGCGCCGACTCGGGAAGAACGACAGGAGCTCTTCCAGTTATGCAACGCGAATATTAGGGATCCAGAGGCATATCTGCGGAAGTGGTTCTTGGGGGCTGATCTGCAGGATATCAAGCGCGAGAATGTGAAAGATTTCTTCCTCTGGGCATTTTTCAACCGTGGCGGACCGCCCGGCGACGACGATGAGGAGCTGGAGGAGTATGTCGGGGCGACTGAAAAATTGCTGGGAAGGCCGATTGAGGCTGGCAGAGGAAGTGCACAGTGCTTACGGTTGACTCTTGACAAAGTTGGCATGTTGCACCGTAGCTTGACCTGGTATTGCGTAAGTTAGTCTTTGATTAACTTTGAGAATGTAGCTTACTCCGTGGTAGTGCGTTGGGTTTGTCGACTTCCTGACTTACATGAAGTTACTATCCCATGGCTTTCACTTTCATCGCCTGCGCCTTGCTCGATTCTTCACCCTCTTCCCTTTCCGTCCCCAGACCCTCCTGACAAAACATCGGTCTCCTGCAAAGCACACAACATACTGGCACCGGCCTCATACATCAACAACAAAGCTTCCTGTTGTTTTTATTCACGGAATTGGCATTGGTCTATATCCCTACACGAACTTCCTCAGCGAGCTCAACTCGACGTCCGGTATCGAATCCGATGATCCTAATGACCAAGTTGGGATTATTGCTATTGAGTTGATGCCTGTGTCTTTCAGAATCACGCATTCTGCATTGGGACGGACGGAGTTGTGTTATGAGATCGACCAAATTCTTAACAAGGAGTTTGCACCTGACCAGAAGTTCGTCCTAGCCTCTCATTCCTATGGAACAGTACGTGCAACGGAATTTTTCTACCTTGAGTGCCCTATAGAGTGAAGAACTCTCGCGGAATTTCTTTCACGCCCAGATTTCTCACCTTGAGACAATGCTAATGATTGCCTAGGTAATCACGACCCACCTTCTCAAGACGCCATCTATTGCGGAACGCATAGGATCTATTGTCCTGATCGACCCAGTTTCTATCCTACTGCACTTACCAGATGTAGCGTTCAACTTCACACGGAGGAAGCCTATACACGCCAATGAGCACCAGCTGTACTACTTTGCCAGTATGGACATGAGTGTCAGTCACACGCTGAGCAGACACTTTTTCTGGAACGAGAACGTCCTGTGGAAGAAAGATCTGGGAGGGAGGAGAGTAACCGTGAGTTTGAGCGGTAGAGATTTAATTGTTGATACAGAAGCCGTTGGACGATACCTGAGCACTGGAGCTGGATCGGAACTTCCGAGTGGTACAGCAAGCGGAGACGACGCGGACACTCTGATCGAAATTGAAGAATACAGTGACACGGAAAGAAATAGAATGAGTCTTCGTGGTGGCGAAGGTGGTGCGGATGGGGACGAGGAATTCGATATCGATGACGAGGAGTGGAAATTCCGGCCATGGAGAGGCGCCGGGATTGATATTCTCTGGTTTAGGGAATTGGACCATGCGCAGGTATTTGACAAGGCTTCCACCAGGAGACGGCTCATCGGTGCGATTCGAGCATACTGCGAGCACGAATGAATGTTTGCTTAGAGGGAAAAGGGGGGTCCGGGCCGGGCCGGGCTAGAAGAATTGAATGCTCGTTTAGCGCAACAGAGCACCAAGGTTGAGAAACTGGGAAATTGTTTCTTTTGAGCGTGCGAATTCTTTTATAGACCAAGAGTTCGGGACTAGTGAACCAGATTCTAAAGAGGGAAGCATACCATCCCACACAAAGTTAGACATGACCGTACAAGTAGAGATACCACAATTATTTTTTTCCTGAGATCCTTCCTGAAGCCCACTTTCCAGCGATGTTTGCAGATACCTTCTTCTCTTTCTATTAGATTGTAACAAAATGTCTCCCTTACAGAACCTCACGCCCCCACACTCAATAACTCACGAACCTGACACGGCGACCAAAACAGTGAGACCATTTCCTCTCCCAATTTGTACTGCAGCTGATGCGTGCAGTAGAGGGTCATCATTATTCTCTCGATCATCTTTGGTGTCTCTGCTCTATTTGGGATATTTATTTCCCTCGGGGTTCTAGTATGGAGACGTGCTGAGCGGAAGGATTTGGAAAAGAGGAATTTAGGAAAGGAGAATGGGAAGGGAAGGAAAGGGGGCGCAGAAAGAGGCTGAGGAGGGAGAGACGAGAGCGCCCGGGAGGGCAATAAGCCGTGCGTTATAAGATCGAAGCTGGTCGCGACGGCTGTAATGCTGTGAGAGGCGGAACGTTCGAGTGGAGGATCCAAAATAGAGAAGATGATGTTGTAGGTGAACAGAGCCCTACTTGTTTTCGATAGCATGTTCAATATCATCTGAATTCTCGAAAACCGCGATATCATCTTGTCTATTCTCATCTATCCTGATCTAGAGCCGAGTGATGTCCTGAGATCCCCAATTTTAGTACTTGTACAAATCCGAGACGCCTGGCCTCGGTTTCCGTTTATGTTCCTTCACAGTCCTTTTCCCAATGTCCCATCATACATCGTTCGCAGTCGGCACTGTCTATCTGGCAGCTCAGTCCACATCATCCTCACTCGTATCCGGCAACTTCTCGCTCTCTTCCTTTACCCCATGTTTAGCGATGCCATTCTTCTCCCTCTCATGTTTCTCCGCCTGCTCCTTCGGCATCATCTCGAACGGCTTTCCACCCTCCACGCCATCTTTCACATTTCCATTCTCATCGACATCCTCTTTCAGGTAGAGCGTGAAGAGCACGACGAAGAGCACGGTATCGGTCTTGCGGTTCTTAAGCACATATCTTAATGTGTGTGAGCGTTTTTGGACTTTCCTGTTGGCGCGCAAAAAGCAAGGTTGGTATTCCTGGTTAAAAATCAAAGGGGAGAGGGGGCTGAACACGCAGAGGAAAACAGACTTACCGTAAGCCTTGTCCGTCCCAGTATTTCATGATCGGGAGAGTGAACCCCGGTAATCGTAGGGCAAAGTCTTGAAGAAGTCAGCGAGAATTTGTGACGCAAAAACGAGAAAACGAAAAAAAACCTACCGTTGAAATCTAAATACGGGTTGAAGAAATCGCACCCGTAGATCTTGCCAGCCTCCCAGTCCCACTCCTTCCTGTTCTCCTCATTCAAGAAGTGTTTCTTCCTTGCCGCCTCGCTTTCGGGAATCCCCTTCTCCTTTCTCAACTCCACACCATCCTCATCGCCTCCCTCAGTAAACACCAACCCAGCGTCATGTTCAGGCTGTCCATCTACCTTCCCATTGCCACAGATATGCAACGTGTTTACACTGCTCGCAGCAGGTCCATACAGATACGGCTTCTCCGCATACACATCCCCATCCAAGCCGGGATCTACCAACCATTTCACAATCTTGAATGCAGTGCTGAATCCCGGGGGTAACCTGTCTCGAATTGGATGGTCGAAATCATTGCCAAATACTAGATCATTGCCATTGATGTTTTCTTTCAGAGTGAATTTGAAGGCGATGCTGTATTGGTCTTTGTTCTTGTCGTGAGGAGGGAGCTCGAAATACGGTGAGGAATTGGGAGAGTTTTGTGGCAGGCCGCGGTATGACTGGTATTGTCAGCTGGTGTGTTTGAGGGGGGACTTGGCCGTACTTGGATGCGGACATTGAGGTCCACCGAGATGAGCTCGGAGTGGATCGTGGTGGGTTTTGCATGGTTGACGGAGACGATTTGGTGCTTCGTAATATCGTACTCTGACCCCGCAGTGACCTGGAGGATGTAGTTGTGCGCCATGCTTCCGTCGTACTTGGATTTGCGTTTTCAATGTTCGAGTTACTGATGGCGCATTTGGGACGTTACACGCGATCAGCGGCCGGGAAACGAGTTGAATTGTTGGGAGGGAGGTCCAGACCGATCGCATTTACTGGGCAAATGCAGAGCCAAGCGATAGATACAAACTGGAAAGACTCGCTGGCAAAGTTATGATATCGGGACAGCAAGGAGGAGGTGATTCTGCGATAAAAGGTTAAATACCGGAGGGTATGTCCGAGTTTTTATTTTGCCGCGCAGGACAAGATGATCATCGAAAAAGGAGGCGGTGACGTCGCGAAAAGCTGGGGTCACATGCATGTGACAACCCCGCGGCAGTACAGCGACAGTTTTGATTCACCACGCTGGGATTTGGCAGGGCATGCGGTGAGCAGCCGGACAGATCAGAACGAGTTCTCAGCATGGCTGTAGTTATATCAGCACGCCATATTAAATTGTCTCGGTCTATTAATATTAACGTTATCTACACAACATGCAAGCCATTCTTGAAGCTGCCCTTCCCTCTTCTGTGTTATACCCCGTGGCTCTGTCAACATGATGTCGTTGGAGGAGGATCATTTGTGGGTGAGAGGAATTTGTCGATATTGACTCTCTCGTAAAAACTGATATGACCAAATCCAACCCAGTACTGAGCAAGTTTGTTGTGTGAGACCATGATCAGCTGGCTCTCGATATATTTGTCTGTGAATTGTCAACCTCTGTGAACATAATAATAATAATAATAATAATAAGCAATTGAAAGAGGACTCACCATCTCGGAACATTCTCGCTGCGACATGTCCTCTGCTCTTGACAATTCTTGCGCCACGAAACGTCTTCTCGGTCGCCTTGCGAACAAATCCAGTTTCCGAAATATCATCAGCGATGAATGTGTATTCTCCTCTTGGGATGTTCGGGTCTCCTGTCAATTTGATGGCTTCAATGCTTCCACGGTAGATCCTTTCTTCTTTCTTTCGCACTTCCCATTCTTCTACAGTCTCGTCATCGGCCTGAATAACGCTTCCCTCATCGAAAGGCTCCTCATTGTCCGGTTGATTCATGAGTAAGAACTCACACCCATGTCCACTGTAATCACCAACCCAGATTCCCCTGAAAGGCTTCTCCCCCGTCGGCGTATAAAGTTTTGGATCCAGTGTTGCGTAAGTGGATACTTCCTCTCCCATGTGAAAACCCGGCGTGTTACGGCCAGCAACCATTTCCATCCAACTTCTGATCCTGAAAGCCTGGTCACTAACTTCCTCCCGCCTCTGTGGTTTGTGGCCACTGCCTACGAAGGCTTCTTGGCTAGCGTTCCGAACACGGTGCCTAGCTGGAATCGTAGGAGGCGGCCAGAGCTGCATGTTTGGGCGAACGTCGACGGGCTTGGTGAGAAGGAAGTTGGAGAACACGCCACGGTGGTTTCGATCATTGAGATGCATGGAAGTTTCGGCACAAAAACGATGTCCCCGTTGGATTTTGGTGGATGATGCCGTAAGTGACTCCAGGGGGAGTGCATCAAGTTGGAGGACAGGCTGATCCAAATGTAGACGACATCGAGGATTGAAAGAGTGGATGAGAACTTGGTCGTCGGCCTCCCAAGGATCGAAGGTTGGTGGCGACCGCTCTGCCACAAGGCGGTAGCCTTCGATACAGCCTCGGCGGGGATCATAGCGAGCAATGATAACCTTCCCTGTTAGAAAATTGTCACAGAACCAGATCTTGTACTTCGGCAGGAACCAGTGGGGATCATGGGAGATATAGAGGTCTCGGTATGTGCTGCATGGGTACGGTGAGGTTAGAGTAAGCCCAGGAACATTCTCCTGAACATGACGTTGCCATGACAAGTCGGATTTGCTGTGGCTAGAAAGGAGCTTGCAGGTCGAGGAGACCCTAACCAGCTCAGCGGGGCCGAGAAAGGACAGGATCAGATCGATCAGTTCGGATGGAAGACGCGTGAGGCAGCTCCCTTTGGGCGACGGATAAGAGGCGAGTATATCTAGAATGGGTACGAATTAACAATGACTCGTGAGTTTGAAGCTATAACCCAACAGAAAAGGACATGGTAATGGCTTCAAAAAGCCAGGATGAGTCAGTGGCATACCGACAAGACTTTGAGAAGCTTTGCTGGACTCGCCGTTCTCCTTTGAGGACGACAAATTGTTCCTCTGCTCGAGGTCTGCTTCTTCTGGCCCCGTTACAGCCACTGACTGGACCAAATTCAGATTCTCGTCCTGCCCAGGGTCGACTCCACCATGGAGATACTCCCAATCATTATCCATTGGGGGGTCGAGTCCAGATGTTGAGGACGCCATGTTTCAAGGATTTGGTCTGAAAGTCGGCGGACGAACAGCTCGTGTTCCAATTCTCACAATCTCTCTTATCGAAGGTTTTCCCCTCGTAAAGACGGGAGATGGGGCGGGGGGGGAGGGAGAAAGACGAAGCTTTATGGCTCGTGCCAGCCTTCCTGCTGCATGTACGCACGGGTAGAGGGGGTCCGTAGGAGCTCGCGAATCTCTGTACCAATCCCCGGTAGACGCCCTGCACCTTGTCCTCAACGTGCAGAACGCCACCAGGATAAAGACCGTCTTTGAAGGGGTGGCGGGAAGGGGGCAGATGTTGTGCGACGGTGAGGCCTGGCGTCGCGGGAGAGGGCCTTGAGCTTCCTATTCAGGATGACGAAAGTGAAAGTGCGGGGAGTTGGCGTCGGCAAGATAGAACGAACGAACTATTGGGCCTCCTGCCAGCGGACGGAGCGGGCTGGGGGTTGGGGCGAGTGCTCAGCGGAGGAGGCTACGGAGTAGATTTCTACCTCGACCTTGGCCGGGGCTTGGCATTAGCTTGGGCAATTGGTTCAACTTTTCGACGCCGAATTATTCGACGTGATGAATGATGCTACCTCGCTACTATTGGCAAGCTGTTGGCCGCAGCCGCAGCCGCAGCGGAGCTCGGAGTGTGGGTGGCCTGCGTGGGCTGTTGCAGTTGCAGTTGCAGTTGTAAGAGGGCATGAAGGCAGGCCGCGACGGCGACAAGTGGGGGAGCCAGTGGAATGCGAGTGGGAGCGGGAGTGGACTTCCAGCGCAGAGCAGCGCAGAGCAGATCACGAAGGGCAGGTCACAGGAGGTGCTCGCTCAGGAGAGGAGCTGTGCAAGGCAAGGAAAGGCCCATCGCTCGCATCGCGCCGCCGACATCGCCATGGCTGCACAGTTGAGCGTTGCCCGGTTTAATTTTAGTTCCATGCGGCAAAGTGTGCAGCAACAAGCAGCAGCATCGCGCACGGCCACCGCGCCCTCATCGTGGGGAAACCTCGTGGCAAGACATGGATGCTATTCCCGCGCCGCGCCGCTGAAGAGCTTCAGCCTTCAGCCTTCAGCCTTCAGCAAACGAGGCTTGAACCTGATTGTCCTCTCCACCTGTGTGCTTCTCAGTTGGTTCCCCGATCCCACAAATTAAGTGGTGTGGACCGCAACCACGGAGCTGGGCTCGTGCCTGGAACATCGCGACTCGTGAGTCAGTTTTCTCTCTGAGTGAGACAATCATGTCGAGACTCGAGAAGGGAGAACATTATTCCGAGACTTATGGAGCTGCTCGTCGAGTGATGTTTGATGATGGCTGGGGTGGAGGATTGGCTCAACAAAAAGACTCGCTTACACTGTGGAGCAAGCGAACTGGAACGTGCCACCACTCTTCACTCAACTTCACGGTTCACGGTTCACGATTCACGATTTACGATTCTACACTCTGTGCTGCTATTACTTTCCAATACAATACTTCCCCCTGCGCACTGCGCTATCCAACTATGTTGTTTGTGTCCCTATCATATTAATCGCCCATCGTAAATTAACATTCTCGTACCCCTCATCCGTATTCAATGAGTTCCCTTCTCGCGCTCTTGAAGGATCTCGTGCCCGTTGTGACGGGCAGCTCTCCCGTTCTCATTACAAGGTCCACCGACTTGGATTCGGGTACTGGTCAAACAGAAGGTATGATTAGAAAGGGGCCAATCATAAACATGTCGGACGAGTTGTGCACAAGCCTTCGCCACTTTCTCGCTACTTTGCGGCAGTCCTTACTCTTTTCTTGTACCTAGCTCACACAACCCTCGTCCTTTCCCATCTAACTTAATATCGTAACAGCTCCCACTCTTGGTCATCTCTGTATGTTCTGGTAATGCAATTTTGTGCATTGCGATTTGTAACAGCAAATTTCCCACCATTAGCTGAAATAAATGAAGTCCTTTGCAAACCTCAAAAGGTTGATGAATCTGCCTCGTACTCAAGTGCATGTGCGGATTGGAGCAATGCTATAGATACTCGGAAGTCGCCCTTGTTCAAGAGACCTCGCACCCGAGAATTTTCTTCTCTTAAATTGGAGCATGAGAACATGTCTCCAATTCTCAGCAACTAGGGTTTCTCCTCGGAAGTAAATCCTAATGAATTCAAGAATCTCACATAAATACTGCATGTCATTTCAATATAACCTGGTTATATTCTCATTCTCACACCTCATAGTAACGGTCGCGCACCCACACACCGCCTCCGCAGTTCATCATCACGGAGAACAAGGCCAGCCCTCCCCCCTTTCTTCTTGCCGAGCTAGCTCCAATCCTGTTACTTACTTCACAACGGACACAATTGTCTACGCCGCTAGTCGTCGCGGGGGCCGTGATATCAGACAACGGCAAAACAAGACAGGAGCTCTCTCCAGGAGATCTTGCACTGATTCCAGCGTGCACTGGACACCAGGAGGTGAATGGTGGCGATGAAATGACCGTAAGGGAAATAAATCCATTTTCCTTGACAACCTCCTGTCCCCCTTCTTCTCGAGTGCTCCCAAGACAGTCTTTTTTGACAGATGTTTCCAGTGAGACCCTATTGTAGGAAAATGCTAACTCCTCGGCCTTTAGTGGATAATCACGAGGAGTGGAGGAGAGCCCGTAGTCTTAAATCTCGAAGGCTGGGGTGGCAATACAAAAGCTTAACCAACGTCTGATCACAGCTCAGGCTGTCCTTCACAGGATCACATAACAATATGTAAGAGCTAGGGTGAACACTTGGGACCCACAAGGATGATTCTGATGCCATTTCTACTCAGCGCTAAAACTGAAAGGAGACCGAGACCCAAGCGGGGTTGGGTTAAATCTCAATATGCAATCCCATGTGTCGAACCTTTTGGTTTTTTAAGACAGTGATGAAAAGTAAAGCCCGACGCCTGCCGTCCTCAAGAATAACCCGCCCATGCAAATGCTCGCCCTGATGGTTTCAATCTACGTAACGAGGTCCATCGTCCTGCCAGTTTGCTGCTGGTGTCTCTGGCATTCCATAAGCCCCTGGTGTTGGTGCTGCGTAATAACCTTGTTGGGCTCCAGGGGTAGGTGCGTCCATTGCCTGAGGAGTTGGTGCCCATTGAGCTCCCCAGGACGGGGCCGGAGTTGGGGCTGCTGCAGGTGTCGGTGCGTTGTACGGCGCAGGAGTTGGAGCTGAGTAGGCGCCTGGAGTCGGAGCGTTCATAGCCGTAGGCGTGGGCGCTGACATATGCGCTCCAGGAGTCGGTGCATCATATGAATTTCCGCCCCATCCACTAGGCGCTGGTTGGTTCGAGCCCCAATTGTCATTGGAGGGAGTAGGATGCTGGTATGCCGGTGTTTTTGATCCCCATGTGTCACCACCGCCTCCATATCCCGGGGTCTTGGAACCCGCAGCGAACCCATCCTGCTGGAGACCGTAAGCCGGCGTCTTTGCCCCCGAAGACCAAGCAGGGGTTCTGTTTCCACCACCATAAGACGTTCTACTGCCATCGTACGGGTTCACAGTCCGTGAGCCATCGACCCAAGCAGGGGTTCGACCACCATTTGCATCGCCAGATGATTTCCAGGCAGGTGTACGCCCACCGTTGGCCCCCCCAGCAGGTGCTATAAAAGTCAGCAATGAAAACTCAACATGCGACTATGGAACTTACTTCTTGCGGTGTTCCAGGCTGGGGTCCGCTCGACACCTGCAGCTGGCGTACGACCACCATCCCACCCACCGGGAGTAGCTCCTCCCATACCTCCTCTGCCACCCCGAGGAGTAAAGCCCCCTCTGCCTCCACCGTGACCACCTCTCGAGTTGGGATCAATACTCTGCCCACTAATCCGATCCTTGAATCCTAACGCATCCTTCGGAACATTCACAGTCTTGTTCTTGGTGTGCAATTCGACTCGAGCATTGGTATCTGTTGTCTCTTTCACAATTCCAAGCAAGCCCTTGTAAGGCCCCCGTCGAATGGTCACGGTCTGGCCAATAGAGCGATCTCTACCAAAGGTTTTTGGGGGTGCCATGGCGCCATTGCTTTCCGGGTTTCGTTTCATGGCGGGGTTCATGGCGTTGAGATCCGGAGCCGCTGCCGTCGTAGTGACTCGCCCCCCCTTTGCAGAGACCGTGGCGACGCTTGTGGTGCGTGCAACAAAAACACCAGCATTTTCGCTCTGCGCAGAATTTCGTAGGAACAGGTATGCTCGATGGATGTGAATGATCTTACCAGATCTGGCTTCTCCACCGAACTCCTTGACAACATCGTCGACCCGAATTTCAGATCCATTTCTGTCTGTGGCAACAGCGTGTTTGCGTCTCTCGAGCTTGTTCGAGATCTGGGAAGGCATGACCATTCGGGTCTGGCTGTTTTGATCAAGAACAACCAATGACTCGCGATCGACCTTGACTACACATGCCACCGTGGAAGGATCAAGTTGGACCAGATCCCAAAGCTCGAATTGTCCCAGAGATCCGCTACCACCTGAGTCGCTTGCCTCTCGAAGGTCTTTGCTGAAAACAGTGATCTCCGTATTGCCTTGGTCACTCAAAAGAGTGACGCGATCTTCCACAATCTTCACGACCATGCCCACCTCATCTCTAAAACGACTTCCGCCGATGACCTTGACATGATCTCCCTCTTTAAATCTCTTGCGGAGACCCTTGACTGGAACCTCGATTGTCTGGCCCTTGAGGTCGCCCTCAGAAACAGCCATCGTGACGATGTCGCCTTGCACAGACACAGCTTTTCCCACAACCCCCTTCTGCTCGCCCTCGTAGACTTCGATCACATCGCCAGGAAGGTATGAAGCATTAGCCGTGCTTGCTTTCAGACTTGCAGCAAGAGCGTTCAGATCCAGATTTTCGGTGCCGTCCTCAGCCCCAGAAGCAAATCTCGTGACTTCTTCCAGAGTTGGGTTCACATCTTTCGTAACCAAAGTTTGAATCTTGACCTCCTTTTCGCAATACCCGTTGATGTATTCGTCGCCAAGATAAGACCAGGTCTTTGTATTAGGGTTACCCTGCAGGTACTTTGCATGTCGCTTCTTGGCTTCCACCTCACTGAATAATCTTTGAGGGGGTCGAGGGCCCGCAGCCACCCGTTTTCGCTTTGCGCCGAATGCATCCGTGGGGGCGTTGGCATCATCATGTAAACCGTAATCCAGACGAGGCACATATCTTACCCGCATTTCGAGGCCCGTGTCCGTGACATCTATAACTTGAGCAAGGTCGCCAGCATACTTAGGAGGCCGTCTCAAACGCACATAGGCTCCAGGCTCCAGGGAAGGAGTCTTCGAGACTCTGAGTAGATCCGGCATTTCCTTGATCTCGACCAACATCATCTTGGTCCTCGGATATACGTTCATCAACCCATCTAGAGCAACCATGATGTCTGCCTGCCTTTGGGCCTCAACGTAGATGAAGCCCTTCATTGTCGACTGTGTTCCTCCACGCTCGAAAGCACAGGTAATGGCAAGCTCGTCCTTGGTGCCAAGTCTCTCCTCAATACGCTTCATGATGGAGAACACTGCCTCTCTTTCCTTCCCCTCTTTACACCGGACTGCCCAAATGCTTGGATCATCGACACTGGGAAGTAACAAGCGCTTTGGTACCACAGCAGAATCTCCCATGGCTCGCCCGGATCTGTTCTTGTTGGCATATCGTTGCCGCAAGATTTCTGCCTGCTTCTCGGCATCGAGGCTCGCTTCCATCTCACGTCTTCGATCCAACTCCCTGTGCCGCCTGTCATCCGTCTCGCCTCCCGCTGGAAGATCTGCCAAATCATCGGGATGCGTATCGGCAATGAAGTTGTCTTTGATTTCATTGAGCTCGTCTTCGTCGTCATCGTTCTCGTCTTCATCTTCGTCAACTTCGGCTTCGACATCGAGGAACTGATTGCGGCGTTCCCGTCGACGTTTTCTGCGATGACCCTGCAGAAACTGTCAGACACTGTAGCCTGGAGATTGAAACAAACTGAAAGCCTGTGGAATGTGTCAAAAGGGAATCTGAATGCTCACTGTGATCTCTTCCTCATCGTCGTCGTCCTCATCTTCTTCATCCTCATCCTCATGTGCGGCTCGAGCTGTATCTTCCCCTTCACCTTCGGCATCCTCTTCATCCTCGTTTTCATCGTCATCGCGATCATCTACAGAAGACCGCCGCTCGTTCACCTCCCGTCTTCTGGCTGCCTCGCTTTGGATCTGCGCGCCTGCGTCTTCGTCGTGGTCAGATCCTCCATCTTCAGCGTCCGAAACATCGGCAGGGGCAGGATTGAAGTCATCCTCGTCATCGCTGTCATCGAACCGGGTATTCAGAAGGCTTGAGGTCAACATTGTGGATAATGGAGGTTGTAGAGTGTAAATGTAAGTAGAGAGCTTGCTGTTGGTTTTAAAATGGAAATCGCGCTAAACTTGACCCTTGCCTCCCGCCGCATTTGATAGTTCTATACCACGTGATCTCAGCCTCGTCGGCTAGCGAGTTTGGGAGCTGCCGCTGCAAACTCGTAAGGTTGAGGGTACCCGGATATTTTTTCCCAATGTCCCAAGTTATATTGGATATTAACTGGACCGAGGACTTGAATATTCTAGAGCTTCTAAGGACAAGTTGGAGAGGACAAATATGAATTAAGGGAATATTCGAAGTAGCAGGCACAGAAGCCTTGTTTGAAATGTTCAACTTCGCTCGCGCGAGAAGGTGAAAGCGGCACGTCTCAATGTTTCAAGTCGGCTTGGATATTTCAGATACTTCTTCACTAGAAATACCTTCTATCTATAGTAAAGCCAGAGTCTACTTCCTCGTATATTTGTGATGATCTAGAATATTTAAGATCCGTCTCTTTTTATTCCCCAGCTCGAATCTAAAGCCCTCAATAATTAGTGCCGCTTTTCCGTCTCCGCATCCGACGCCGCTTTCACCTCAGCTCTCCAAGCCGCGAGCCCGTCTATTCCCTCCTGTCCACTTCACAGTATACCTTATAAGCAATGAAGGCCATCCGGATAGAAGAATTTGTTAAAGTGAGGCCATTTCTGCACCATGGAAGTCCTCAATCTAATTCATACTTAGGACCTGGAAGAGATCAAGGTATCCGAGGTCCCAAATCCTCAAGCCAGGGAGGGCGAGGTTATTGTGCAAATCGTTGCAGTCGGTGTGAACTTTGTAGACATATTATATGTAAGTCACCCTCCTACCCTGTGTCAATTGCGCTTTTCTCTCACTTATGTTGCCTCAAAATTGTCGGGAGTGGGGCGTTGGTGCGATGAGTTTAGTTCTGAAGTTTGATTTTTTCTTCGACTCCGTGAATATTGAGAAGACAAGGGTCGTTTGGGTGCATATGCTTCTATTCCATGAACATCAGAAAGTTATACAATTACTCTAGCAATTCTTAGATCTTTGGGGAGTTCACTAGTCCTGACCTCAAGAAGATACTTTTACCAACCCTTTCTCACGCCTGCTCTCTTTCTCAGACCAATTTCTCATTACTTCTTTCAGGCTCGAGGCAAACATCAAAACAACCGGTCCTTAGTCAGGCCCCCCTTCATCCTCGGACTCGAATTCGCCGGGATCGTGGTATCTGCCCCTATCGGTTCTCAATACTCACCAGGAGATCGAGTATTTGGCAGCGGGCTCGGTTCCTACGCCGAGCAGATCGTCGTCAAAGGAGCCTCGCTCCATCATATACCCAAAGACTGGGACTTCAGAGATGCCGCTGGCCTTGCAGCGACTGCACCTGTCAGCTATGGCGCCCTGATCACTCGGGGGAGGCTTCAGAGAGGCGAGACAGCTCTGATCCATGCAGCAGCTGGAGGACTCGGTGCTATGGCTATACAGATATCCAAGGCCGTTGGAGCAAGAGTGATAGCCACCGCTAGCTCTCAAGCCAAACTCGATGTTGCAAAAAGCTTTGGTGCAGACGAGTGTGTAAATTATGAAACCAATCCTGAATGGTGGAAAGAAGTGCTCCAACTTACCAATGGGAAAGGTGTTGATGTTGTTTATGATCCAGTGGGACTCGTGGGCGAAAGTCTGAAATGTCTAAAGCAGAAAGGCCGCATCCTCGTTATTGGATTCGCTGGGACAGAAGGGGATATCGAGAGAATTGCAACAAACAGGATATTATTAAGACAAGCCCAAATAATTGGCTATGTAAGTCGAAACAAACTCAGTTGCCTCCCTCTGACCTTTACCAGCGTTTCGGTATGACCGACCGAACAGATCCAGGAGAGACGGCTGAAATATGGAGAGGGTTGAAAGTCATGTGGGAAGATGGTCTACTCAGACCAACGGTCTTTGATCGAAGCTATAGAGGATTGGAAAGCGTGGTCAGCGCGATGAAGGACCTTCAAGCCCGATATGTTTGGGGCAAAGCAGTGGTGCTGCTGGACCATGGCCGCCATGGGTCGCGATTGTGAATTTGAAAGCTAGGTTGAGTAAGATAGTTCTATTGACTCTTCGCTACCCCATCAAGAGGTTCATGCATTTCCTTTATAATACAATGAGCGCTATAAGCGACATCTTTCTCGTCCCAAATGCCTGGATATTGATTCCGCCATGAAAATCGACCTAAACGCCTGGCTTGACAATGCGGATATCATTTCGTCTATGATCTTCTTGAACATAACATTCATCACAGTTTAACGCCCCAGATTCCCCGACCACCACTAACTCCAACCCAATCCCCACCGTCGTTGTTCAAAGCACTATGGGGTGCCCAGCTGATGTTACCAACTTCGTAATCACATTGCCAGCTGGCTGCTGGTCCACGGGCGTTGTCTGATGCCGATGCACCATTGACTGCTGAACCTTGTGGAGTAAGTGCAGTGCTTTGGCTCAGTAAGTCCCAAATCAGAACTAGGGAATCATCAGCGCCAGAGGCAAGGGTGCCTCTTCGCGAGGGTGACCACTCTATGCAATTGATTGACGCCGCATGCCCTCGAAGCTCGAGCAAGGCTTGCCCTGGTTGCCGGACATCAAGAATCCGAATAAGATTGGAATCTTGAGAGAAGGTGGCTAATAGGTGAGTATCGTGAGGTGATGCAGCAAGCCTCAGTAAGGGTGGAGCGTATGACATCGTCTGCTGCGCCAACGTAGGACTTATTCTTCCTCCACCAGGACTGGCATCTAGCGAGGAATTAGTATCTAAGTCCAAGGAGCGTAGGGCACAACTTACCTTTGTCATCCTTGGCAGTGGGCTCGTAAATGATGGTGCTATGCTCCAAACTTCGTAGGTCGAACATTCGGACACTCCCATCTGCTCCACAGCTGACGAAGACATCAACACTATTTGCACAGAACCTCACATCGAAGACCTCCTTATCGTGAGCAATTAATTGTGTTTTTGCCGTCAACGTTGGTATGTCCCATATTGTACAGGTAGTGTCAATGCTTGATGTGATGATGAGACTAGGCGAGACGGTATTCCAGTCCAGCGAAGTCAAAGGAGCTGTGTGTTCGGGGGTCTTCGAATTTGAAAGGAGCGCTAGTGGTGTAAGCTTGCTCGCCGGGAGATCTCTTCCATGATTCGCGGAGCGGGTAATAGAATTTCCTGGAGACGCCATTGGTGTTTCTGAGGGTAGAGACCAGAGTCTGAGATGGTCTCCAGAGGTAGCAAGAAGATCGGTTGATTGCTTCTGAGACGATGGCGGTTCCCACAAGAGGCGTGTGACTGGATACGAGTGGGTAGCTTCCGCGATTTTGATAAACTCCAATCCATATTTTGGAGCTCCTGGGGTATACGATTCAGGCGGTGTCGGGGTAATTTGTGAATCTAGAATTTGAATCTGACAAGGACATGAGCATATATCCATATCATAACTGGCTTTTGATGGGCAAACACTTACAAAATTATGTCCATCTTCCAGATAGCTCCCAACAGCCACTTTCCCCGCATCGTGATTCTGGGCCGGCCATTTACACCAGTCAAAAGCATATATGGCCCATGGTGCAAGATAATTGCTGTTGGTGGGGACTGAGTTGGCGCCGTCATATGAATATGGATTTGCCCCAGGCAATCCATCAGAGAGACCAGAGTCAGCGCGGGGTCGGATATCTGCGAGGCCAAGCGGCGTGTTCGAGACTGCCCGTTGGGTACTCTGGGGGGCATATTTCTGTGTCGTGGGAGATGTAAAGTGACCCTGGTCAGTTCCTCCTGGTGTTGTTGGTGTGAAGGGCGTGAACCCTTGGCCATCGAAGCCAGCGGCTGGACTCGAGCGTGTATAGCTGTGCGAGAGACCTAAAGCTGAGGATCTTGAAGGAGAGGAATACTGTTCTGGCGCCATGGTTGGCGCATTGGGCGCGGTGTTGGCTGTAATCGGGCCTGGTCTGCCAGGTTGCAAAGAGCCTGGGAGCTGCCCCGCGCTTGTATATTGAGATGCTTCGGGTGCGGCTTGCTCAAGGCTGATACGAGGACCTGCGGCTGTTGTATAGTCTCTAGGAGACAGAGCTCCGCGCTGGGAAGCCATGTTCGTTGCGCCGCTCAGATGGAGCTCATCTGGGTGTCGACTGCGTCTTTGGTTCTCGAACTGCTGTGACTGGCTCATTTCTCCGCTGGAAGGGTGCGCTGCAATCGATGTATTGGCGTGCTGTGGAGCATAAGCAGATGGCAGCGCAGACTGCTGTCCTCCCAGGTTCGAGTTCAACGACGTTGCACCGGAAGGGTAGAGCCTGTCTGTGCCAGCTACCGTTCTCGCAGACCCGATGTTGTTGAGGCTGCCAGCGGGGGCCCCGATAGAACCTAGATTGTGAGCTGCTTGCAGGATACCAGAAGCAGTAGCAGCTCCAGGAACCTGCTGCGCATGTTGCGACGAGGAGGAAGATGTGTGCGAGTGGAAACCGAAGGGCATATTCGACAAGGCGTTCGTTTTGACAAGATGCACGTCGTCTCGTTGGCTGAAATTAACTCGGGGAGCTCGCTAACGTCCGCACAACCCCCTAAGTGAGCAGAGAGCCGCACAGTACGTACTTTATTAACAGCACTGCTCTCTCTTGAGGGGCACACCTGCCACTTGAGAAACTTCGATGTCTGCTGTATAACGTGGATTGAGTCCGTGTGCCATGGTTCATTTTCCGATTTTGCTGCAATAAGTAGGTCCTCAAGTGAGTGCAATATTAGCAACAAGTTAACACCTCATTCCCTGTCACTTTGATACAGTACCCATTCAGTGTTGACGACTCGAATAAAAATTCCTGTCATTGATTAATTGCTTCTTGGCACCGACGACCATCAAGTCAAATCGAGCTCTAAATTCTAGGGCCGTTGCTGGGACATGTGAATGACCGAGGTTGTCCCCCCTATCCCAACGCCGTTCCATGCAAACCAACCACGCAGACCGATGCACAACCAAGTACACACAAAAGCCACCAAGAAGCTCAACGATAGGGATCGACCTATTTGACTTGATCATCATCCGTCTCCCATCGGTGCTCTTCATCACCCAATTTCCAAACCTTCTCTTCATAGCCCAGTACCTTCTTGACTTTCTCAACCGTGGCCATGTCGCCCGTATTTTTGCCAATATTATCACTGATCTTGATGGCTTGGTTGCCCGCTGCCGAGCTCAATTTGATAACAATATTGAGAGGGGTAGACTTGTGACCAGTGCTTTGATGGACAAAATCGTTGGTGAAAAAGGTTCCGACACCGAATGTGCACTTGAAGCCGGCCTCCTCAGCAATCTTCTTGTACTCTAGACAAAGATCTATGTTGAGGGAGTCGGAGAAGACAATCGTCTTCGGTTCCTTGATGCCCTCCTTGGCGTAGAACTCTCGCATAATCTTGACGAAGTTTGCAGGGTCTCCGGAGTCTTGTCGAACACCCGTAAAGACCTCGGCAAATGTTTTTGTTTTCCCCGATCCGTGGGCTGAGGTCTCAGACTCCACCACGCCGTCAGACAAACTCGTTTGATGTGTTGGAGTGATAGGAGGAATTGGTTCTCTGAATGCTTTCAAGAAGATGGGTGTGCCGAAGGTATCAGTCAAAGCTATGCCGAGAACGCCCTCCCCGAAACATCCCACCCAGTAGCTCAACGCGGTCTTGGTCGCGGTCTCATAGTTACCAGTAATTGCTGCTACTCCCATGAACCATTCGTGTGCAACTGTTCCGATGGGAGGAATGCCAAACCTCATAGCAAGATGGACATTACTCGTGCCAGAGATCTCGCCCGGTAGGCCATTCTTCACCCCCTCCTTCTTCGCCTTGACCAAACCTCGGAATACAAGTGCTTGAGTATGGTAATCTCTCCTCCGTCTGGTTCCAAACTCCGAAACGATACAGCCAGCTTCTAGCAGGCGCATGCCTTTAGCATAAGCCTGCTCCTCCTGGCCATCGTATATCCAATCCTTGTCAATGAACCGGAAGTATGCCTCGCTTGTCAGAGCCAGCAGTGGAATCTCGTAGAGGATTGTCTCGACCCAGGATCCCTTCACAACAAGATTGACTTCGCCAATATCTTCGTCGCTGCCTGTGTCGTCTTTCGCGGTGAACGAGGCTGTGACTTGCTCGCGAGGGTTGAGTCTGAAGTCCTTGAGGAAATCGAGGTATTCCTTGTTGAGGTAGGTACAGGTTGACTGTAGAAAGCGGAGTTCTTCAAGCGAAAGGGCTATGTTTCCGAGCTCTGTTTGTGTTAGGTTGCGCAAAGCGCAAGGCTGGGAGAGACGTACTATTGATTTGGATCTGGAGCCACCGAAAAGCAGCTCTAGAAAGCTTCTTGTCAGGAGTCCTGTTCTTGAAAGCATAGGTCACCTTCACATCTGCAAAATACTTCAAGACTGCGCATTGCATAGTCAACTTGTAGAGGTCAGTGTCCAGGAAGGAGATGACCCCCTCAGGAAACGGCGACGAACCATTGAAGTCCATGGCGGCGTGGTTGAAGAGGACTTCAAATGGAAGGTGGGGGAGACGCTTGTGTGGAATTTAGGGAGTGGAACGCGTGTCAAAACATGCGGAAGGATGAGCTTAAAGACGCAATAGAATAGAGGCACCTGTGGTCGGCGATTCGGTTAAAGGTTCCAATGTCAGATGATCGCAAGACTGTTGTAAAAATAAAAGGAATTGGAGCAAAAGAACCAAAAAAAAGCCCAATCACTTAGGGCATGGAATGAAGAAGCAAAAGCTTTGAACGATGCAAGGATCGAACTTGCGACCTGCTGCGATATGAACATATAATTATGCTATGTAAAGCAGACGTGATAACCGCTACACCAACCGTCCTGAGCAACGAAAAAGTTCCTTATCTGGATCTATATAGCCCTTCGTCTGGCAAGAAATGGTCCGTACTAGCGGCCGCATCATGCGGATAGCGTGATTGGAGGAGATGGTTGTATTCTTACCTACAAGGGATATTTGTGTGCGGCCGCTAGTACGGACCATTTCTTGCCAGACGAAGGGATACATTATTACCAATTTCACAGAAATATTTCTGCACAGACACTATGCTCCTTTTCCTTCCGCCCCGCCCCGCCATGTTTTCCACCAATAAATGAACTTTGCAAAGAATTGGAGATCTGAGTTCTTCTAAACATGACTTTGCAATTAGCTATTACCTAGGACTTTGTGAGGACGAGAACAGCTCTTTAAAGACCCCATATCTTCAAACTACAAATAGCTAACAATGGGGAGGAATTAACAACACAGTAGCCCGCATTATGGAAAAGATATCTCCACTTGTCCAGAGTCATCTAGGACATTGAGATGACTGAAAATAATAAATATCAGCTACGAAGTTTTATCTTAGAAAAACAGAATTGTGAGGGGCTATTGTCCCATACCTCTTAGGATTCTGAAATGGAGCGACAGGTCAAGGTATGTTTTGCATCGAGGACATCAGGGATCAGGAATTCAGGATTATAATTTTTTAGTCATTTCAAGTTCTATGCATTCAAAACCAGGTATTCCTGACGCCTCTTCATGATGATGCTCCAAAAGAAATCCCAAAACCTCCCAGAAAATGCGGGATATTCATCTCCTGATGTCGTACCCGGAGTTGCCGTTTGCCAAATTCGAGTCCGACACCATAATCATCCCTTCATGATACCTACCCCCTTCTCGGCCATGCTCACCCAGGCCAGGCCACTCACCACGATAGCAGACAATAAGGCCGTCAAAATCCCAGCACCGGCTCGATCCGCTGTGGTAATCGGCTTCACTACTTCTGGTGTGCTGATATCTCCGCTTCCCGCGCTGGGGTCTCCCTTACTCGTGCCCCCAGAGCCCGCCGTCAGAGGGGCTTTCGCTTGCGTGATCAAATTGCTCTGAATGACCTCCATCGCAGCCATTTGCTGTCCGACTCCCGATGTGCCATCCCACGCTGCCCCGAGTGCCCAGCTGAGTCCACACGTTCTCCCATTTGGATGATCGGCCGGAGAACCGGAACATTGGAGGGCTGCCGCTTTGGCAGAGCTCTCGAGAACCCCCTTGACCTGGTCGAAGATGAAAGGGGCTTGTTTCGTGGCTGCCGCCATCCAGCGCGTGAGGTAGGCTTTGAAGCTGAGCATATCGATCGAGCATGTGCTTACTTTCGCTTCGCATATGTTTTCGTAGGCGATGCCATTTCGGAAGAAGTTTGTGAGGGTTGCATTGAGGAGCCCGGCGACCCGGCCCTGCCAGATTTGGCTACCATTTGTCTTGTATATGCTGTCAGTCTTTGTGTAACATTCGGCAAGCATGATTCTGCACTTACATAGTTGTACATGTGTGCAGCCCCGAGGAGAAAGATGGCAGAATTGTACGAATATTGCTGTTTGTTGACCTGCGTACAGTTGTCGACGGTCGATTGCGCGCCGTCATACACATTATAGGCGTCATCTATGAATTTAACACTTCTCACCCAATCCCATGTTCGTTCTGCAGATACGGCATATGAATCATTGGCCGTGTATACGGCCAGGCGAGCAGCGATATTGAAGAAGCACCCATTGGCGATGGAGTTCTTGTAGGTGAAACCGTTGAGAAAGGAAAAGGCTTGCCAATGCAAGCCTCCATTACACGTGGTAGGGTCCCACTTGCCTGCCTGAACGTTGTAGACTCCTTGAGCAAGTGCGAGCCATTGTGGCTTGTCGGGTGGAGGGTCTGGAAAGCCCAATTCTGCTGCAGTCATTGCCGACATGCCCCAGAAACCTGTTATTTGAAGATCGGTCAGCGCAATCGTGTTGCCAGAACACACCCTGGACTAGGCAGGTGCCAAACATAAAGAAAGTTGTAGCTACCTTGATCATCGTTGCCCATGCCGTTGGTTTGGTTCGTAGGAAGGTAGTCATTATCCGGACCGGTCTGAAATAGCAGTGCTTGTGAGACAACGTCATTGTATGTCGTGTCACCTGTGTAATACCACTGGAAATCCAAACGGTTAGAAATTTCCGAGATGAAGATGATGTAACGACAAATTGGAGCGGGCAAGTGTCTTAGGGAATAGGACTATTGGAAATAGCAGAAGTGTGGGCGTGCTTACGTAGTCGACGAGACTTCCAAACATTGCACCTGCTTCCCACCAGAAGTATCCCGCATTTGTTATAGAGGGGGTCGCTGGAGGACCGGGCAGTAGCCCTGGCGTTTGGCCTGAGAGGTTTCCTTTATAGTAGGACATCATGTCAAAGGCGATTGTGCTTGCCGCTGACTTGATCGACGCTGTACTGAATATCAGCCAAAGAGCCTGGGGGGGTTTAGCGGGTTGGGAGAGCCGATGGAACGCACCACTTGAGGTCAAGTCAAGCTCGATGGCGGTGGCGGCATCACCAAAGAGCGACAGTGCCAGAAGCACCGCCAGCGGTCGAGGGATAGAAAACCACGCCATGATGCGTGCGATGCGTTCGGAGGGCGGATTAAGCTTATTTACAACGCGTGGGGGGGGGAGGTGGGATCCGAGCCAGGCACGCAAAGCCAGTCTAGTCTGGTGCTAGACCACGTGCGGGGGGGGAGCCGTTCGAAGGCTCAGGTCCAAAACATGGAATTGGAAAAGTTGCGATGTTGTTGTGAGGAGAAAGATAGAGCCCAATCTTCGGGCGATTATCTCGAGCCGCCTAATGACGCAGGAACCATGGCCCTCCCTATTTTAAAGATCAGCGGCTTGCCGTCCAAAGGCTGCACCAACAGGGCGGCCGATGGCTTGCTTGTGTGTAGCGAGTCGCTATTTCGGGAGGTCTGGGGCGGGTGGGTTGGTGGTGTGGACTTGGTGTGGAATTGTGGTGTGTGCTTGGGGGCTTGATTTGATCTGCGAACGATTTGGCCTGGGGTGCGCGAGCGAGTTTGAGGTTGGGGGAGGAGGGAGCACGGAGCGCGCTCGGCGAATGGACCAAGTCGAAGATGAGAGAGGGCTCTGGACAGGGATTGTGTGACGTTGACTGTTTGGGGCGCAGCGGAAAACAATTTCACGCCTCTCGTCCGGTACACGGTACACCAATGTCACCACAGGTCCAAATGGTGTTTGCCGTGCAGGAGCAGGCGTGCAGGCGGTCTTTGGCTGACTGTGCGGCTGTGAGGCTGTGTGTGCCTCGCGGTCCGCAGACGGATGTGTCTCTGCACAGCAGATTGGCGGCTGGTGGTGCTGGATTTCAAACGATACGACGATATGGAGGCAGGCAACATGGGCCGCGTCCCTTTCAATGTCGTGACCGCCTTCAATTCTCACTTAATTTATGTACAGTACTCGTAACTCACCCCCTCACCCCCTCGCCCCCTCACTCCCTCACTCACTCATGTTCTCCTGCCTCCTGTGCTGTGTACTGTATCTGAAGGAGGGCTGCCTGGTGTGTCAGCTGCAATACGAGCTTTGATTTGGAAGTGGGGCTGTGCTGGTTGTGCTGCGCGGCACTGCGCTGCGCTGCGCTGAATTGGACTGGACTGTGCTGAACGGGACTGGACTGGAAGAGGCGGCGCCGCAGTTCAGCAGCTGGGTCGAGTGTGTTGGAACTGGAACTTGGCCTGCAGCAAGGGCGCGGGTCAGCCCATGGCCCCATGCCCTCCCATGCCATGCCATGCCATGCCCATCCATCCCATCTCATCTAGCAGCTAGCAGCCAGCCTCCAGCCTTCTTCTCCCCTTCCCTTCCCTCCCCTCCGCTTCCTGCCCTCCCCTTCCCTTTCCCCTTCGCCGCTGCAGACAGGTTTGATCATTTTGCTCCTGCCCATCGTCGACAGGAAACAAAGACACTGCATTCTTTACAAGAGGCTACAGCACCTTGCGGCGCGTCGGTTTGACCCCCGTCTTCACCTCCAGTTAGATTGAGAGTGCGCACGCGATGCCCGGCTGCAGCTTCTTGAGCACTTCCTCCTGAATGCTCCCTCTCCCTTTCACTGTCGCTCCCTCCACCACTCCAACATTTTGATGGGTCGGCCCACTCTCGCTCAGACCCCCCCAGATCCACACTAGCAACACGTGACCCCCACCCCCCTGTTCAGACGACAGTCAGACTACAGAAGACAGACGACAGACCTCAAAACCTCGCCTGACCAACTCGTCATCGACCTTCAACGGCTATCAACTATCATCGCGTCGGAGCAAAGGGGAGGAGGACTTCAAACTTTCCGTTGCCAGTGAGCCCGTCGCGACAGCACGACACGACTGGCCCCCAACCCCACTCCCCACTCCCCACGAGCTTAGACTGATCAACCCTCATTCAAAATGCGTCTCTATCCCTCATCTACCGCCGTTCTGCTCTCGGCCCTCTTGTCCCTTCGAGTCCCGACGGTCTCCGCCTCTCGAGTCTTCGAGTCTCAATCGTTGGATTCCTGTCAATCCACAACCAATTTCACCGTTACCTTATTCCAAATCGCCTTCTCCCCCGACAACGGGACCTTGTCCATCAATGTCAAGGGCGCCACATCTATCACAGGAAAGGTGCGTCTCGAGGTCGACGCTGCCGCCTATGGATACACCTTCCTCAAAGAGTCCGTGGATCCGTGCACCATGGGCGTCGCCTTTTCAGGCTTCTGTCCATTAAATCTTCCCCAGATCAATTTTGACACCACCTACAACAACATCTCATCGTCCGTGACGAGCTCAATCCCAGGCATTGCCTTTCAAATCCCCGACCTGGATGCAACCGTCACGGTCCACTTGTATATGGCGACTGACACGGAACTAACGAACAGTTTGGCTTGTGTTCGCTCGCGAATTTCCAACAGGAAGACAGTAAACCAAGACGGAGTCAAGTGGGCGACCGCCCTGATCGCCGTCTTGGGTCTCATTGGCTCTGCCTTGGTATCTGGTCTTGGACATGCCAACACCGCCGCCCACGTATCGCTCTATGCAGCATCGCTCTTCAACTACTTTCAGGCCCTCGCTATCATCGGCCTGTGTGCAGTCCCTCTCCCACCGATCGTGCAGGCATGGACTCAGGACTTCAATTGGTCGTTGGGAATTATCAAGGTCAAATTCCTCCAGAAACTGGCGACCTGGTATCAGATGTCGACGGGTGGGACACCGTCGACAATCCTAGCTACGCTGGAAACAAAGTCCGTCCAGGTCGCCAAACGAGCTCTGGAGGTGCTTGGACCAGCTCGCTCACTCTACCCGCGTACTGCTCCGATTGCCACCACGGAAAGTGGCGAGTACATTGTCACGGGTATCGACCGAGCTGCGTTTCGTGCAAATATGGAACCGACGAATCTGTTCCTCACGAGTCTGATTTTCTACTGCATCTTCATCATCCTCGCCCTGGTCGGTCTTGGGCTTTTCAAGTTACTGTGTGAATTGGCACTTCGACGCAGATGGTTCTCGAGCCAGCAAAATCTTCTCCAAGAGTTCCACGATAAATGGCTGGTGACGCTCAAAGGCGTCATCTTCCGACTGATCTTACTGGGTTATCCTCTCATGACTATTCTGTGCCTCTGGGAGTTCACGCAGAATGACTCTCCAGGCGAGATATTCTTGGCCCTCATTTTTCTGTTCGGCATGACAATAGCACTCGCCTTGGCAGCCGTCAATGTCATCAACATCGCCAAACACTCTATACGGATCCACAGGACCCCGGCTTTCTTGCTTTATTCAGATGCAAGTGTATTGAACAAATGGGGGTTTCTGTACATACCATTCAAAGCCACCGCCTACTTCTACATTGTTGCCACCTTGGCGTATATCCTACTAAAGGGTATCTTCGTTGGCCTTCTGCAACACAAGGGCACGGTGCAGGCTTTTGCTCTCGTCATCATCGAGGCGGCTGCGCTTGTCGGGGCATCAATTGTACGACCTTGGATGGACAAGCCAGCAAACGCTATCAACATCTCCATCTGTGTGGTCAACTTCGTGAATGCGATTTTCCTGCTTATTTTCACCAACATCTTCAAGGGACCTGGCCTTCTCATTGGCATTACGGGCATGGTATTCTTCTTCCTGAATGTCATATTTGCCTTGGTATTACTGATCCTCGTCCTCGTTGTGGTTACCGTTTCCCTCGTCAGGAAGGACCCAGAGAGTCGATATCAACCAATTGCAGACAATCGAGGATCATTCATCAAATCTCAAACGGCCTTGGTGCCTATGGAGCTTGATCAATTGGGACTATCGGCGAGAGGAGCACTCGATAACGAGAAAGAGATGCAGAGTCGCGATCTTACGCATCAGCAGGGTGACAATGGCTATCAAAACACCTACAGCGGGGCGGGCGGACCACCCAGTCCCGGGCTCCAAGCCTACAACCAGTCTCCAGCTTTCAATCCGACCCACTATCCCTCGGAATCGCACGAGAGACTGGGTGATCCCTATGGAGGCTCCGACAGTGGACGATTAAAAGCAAGCCCAGTCTATGGTTCTGATAGCTCGCGCCCAAGCTCGTCCCACTCGAACATCCAGCGCGAAAAGAGTCCTTATGGTGCTGAAAGAAAACCCGTGACTAGGTAAGCAACGCTGTTTCACACCCTTTACTTCACCAATGCTAACTTCCACACAGCCCTTGGCAACGCGGGGCCGGTTATGATCATTGATGAGCCAGGCCTTTCAGTGTGTATTCCTTCTATGCGAGTTGCGAGATGGTCTAGGCCCCATTTCTGGCGGATGGTGTAGTGCCAGCTTCTCACTGGGAAGCTGGACTGTTCGAATGATGGATTTGAAGGGTCAAAGCCAATGCCCCTTGATGGTCGTGCAACACCCAAAGAAAGTGGTTGGCTACGAAACGTAAGCATTGGCAACTCATTCCGGATATTTTGGATACGACAGCATTGCGGCTGATGGCCAAAGAACAAGCTTCGATCTTCCACTGAGTGATGAGCGACGGAAAGATCTGAGACAGACACTGGTGACCAGCGGACGAAATAATTTTGAGATCTTGTGGTGGGGGGATGTATGATTGTGTAAAATATGAGGGGATTGGCTGCCTCCAGCGTCTGGAAACGTAAGGGCGTTTTTGGATGCTAATACCCGGATATACATGTAGCTCCGGGTTTCTGCAGATAGAGAGGGTCTAATTTTACTGTAATTGATACCAACACTGTGTCCTACCCAGAGAATGATCTAGATTGGATCACCCAACAAATCAAGGTTGTGCAAAGTGCCACTTCAACAGAGGACCTTCAGTGTACGAACTTGAGACGAAGGAAGCTTAGTCTCAAAGTTCGGGGAGCAATTTCGCTCGAGATATGGGACATTGAAGAAAGCCATTCGGCCAGCAGCCGTCGTCTCAATTAAATAACAAAACCAATAGACTTCCGCAACGGAGAAGCTCGATGTGAAATACTCGATCCACTTTTCGAGGGGCCTTGCGAGAAACATTGTGAAACGGGTTCGCTGACTTTCTATCCAGTTCGGAGTCCGTGGGGAATCGTGTCACGTGCTACAAGATCTGACATCAACTTCAACAAACATCCAGGCCCTTCCATTTTCCTCGCCTCCATCAGGCTCACATTTTGGAAGTCATTTCTTGCAGCAATAATCCCATTGACGGTTTCATCTGTGTCCGTTTTCGTAGGCAATTCGTACCTTGGCGAGTCACATCTCCTCCAACAGAAGAAGATGGCGCCTCTCCCCCGGGTGGCCTGCTTCCACGGCGGCGGCTCCTCGGCCTCGATCTTCGCGGCGCAATGCGACGCGCTGCAGAAGCACCTCTCTTCCGCCTTCGAATTCGTCTTCTTTGACGCTCCTTACGAGCGGGATGCCGGACCGGGTGTCCTGCCCTTCTTCTCCTACGAGAAGTTCGGGCCGTACCGCACGTGGTTCTTCAAGAACGAGAGCGGAGCGGAGGTCCCTGATGGGAGGAGGGATGGTGGGGGAGGTGAGGGTGGTATTGAGAGGGTGCTGAGGATGATCAGGGAGAAGGGGGACGGGGGTGAGTGGGTGGGCTGTATGGGGTTTAGTCAGGGGACGAGGATTGTGGGGGGGTTGCTGCTGCATCAGCAGAAGAGGAGGGAGATGGGGTTCCAGAGAGAGGAGGGGGAGGTGGATTTTAAGTTTGGGGTACTGTGTATGGGATCTTTTGCGCCGATGGTGTCGGATTTGACGGGTCGTAAGTTTGGACACTCCTGTTCATCAATCTCCAAGCTGTGGTTGAAGATACGCTAGAAATTGCTAACTGAAACAGCGGTGATGAGTCTGTCTGGTGGTCCAGACCTTATCACCATTCCGACATTGCATCTCCACGGGACAAAAGATGTCAATTACGCCAATGGGAAGAAGCAATTGGCTGCGTATTATGATCGGAAAACGGCGAGGCTGTTGGAGATCGACTATCACCATGCCATGCCATGGTTTAGAGCCGATTTGATGAAGTTTGTAGACGGCATAGAGAGTATCTATGAGGATTCTCAAGATGATTAATGACTGGCGGGTATAGCATTGTGAATTTTGGGTTAGATATCTGGATCGGGATGGAGTTCATAGGCGGAAAATCTCTGGTTCAGGTCAACCTAAATACGTTTGACAGGAGGAGCATATGTCAAATATCAAGAATAGTTTCCGCCTTTTTCTGCAAGGTCAACTTTGGAACCATCTCGAAGAGAGAAGTCACGACTCGCAAAGAAAGATTCCCTTCAACCTCGATAATCAGCTCTCTCTAATACATCCTTTTCCTCAAAGACTTTCACCCTTCCCTTTCCCAAAAAGACATAGCTTGTCATAACACGATATATTTAACTGTTATAAATGTTGCGAATTAGTCACCGAAGGGGTGAGTGGAGGATGCAATATCTCTAGTTTCTTCACACTCTAGACTCTTCACACTCTCGGCCCCCACCTCCCCCTCCTACTCCTTCCCGTTTCACTTTCAAAGTCGACCGCTTTCGGATTCGTCAATTCACCATTTACCTCTCTCGCCTTCATACTATTTGATTTTCAACTCCACTTCACTATTTCCTCCCAGCTTCAGTCCATTCCGCCTCCTTGAACTTCATGTCTTCGTTGATTTTCTACGCCTTCTTATCGCCCGTTATAGGAGAAATGTGAATATATTGAATACGAAAGCAGGTTGTTTGCAGTCAATTCTAAAAATATCCTCACCCCTTTACCTCGAGTGATGCCTATCTGCGTGCAGAGTGCGTATCAGCAAATCCATCAACCAAAGATGTCTTCAAGCCTTCGGACATGTACCGCAGATATCTGAATATTGGCTGCAGAATGGCAGTCTATTGTCTGTGCATTATTTGGAACATTGTCACCAGATGCTCAGTCCATTGTCCCCACGCAATTAGAATACTAGGGGGAAACGGGAGAACATTCAACGTCCGACGGGCTTTTGAACAAACAATCTGAAGCAAGCACAACAGGACGGGGCATTATCAACGGTGAAGTCTTCCATATTTCGAATCCTTACATCGGTCTCCTCGTAGACGCTGGCTTCGACGCTACCAATGCAGTCTGGCATGACGGGTTCTGCAGACGCGAACGTCACCCAATTTCATCGCGATTGGTCTCACAAGATGCAAAACTCTACAACTGCAAATGTAGAGTTGCTCTTTGGTGATTCCGAGAAGCAGCGATTCTTCCAAAACAGCAAGGAGCGTATTCAAACACACACTCTCTCTCTGGGATGAATTGTCCGATGTCGAACTTGCCCCCTCCACAACGATCCCACACAGCGAAGCACCCGCCGCATCGTCGTGTTTATGTACCATCCTGAGGACTAGTTCCACGACTGGAGCTACAAGTCAGCTGTTCGGGCCGATAGAATCCTGAATGCTGCAGTTAACCTAGCCAGAATCGACATCCCTACGGCTATGGCTTTCACTGAGAGAGCAGTTGGAGCCGGTTCAATTCCTCTTACCACTTTGTCCAACTTCTAGCCGTGGACGAATCCGAAGCCGCGTCGCAAGGACAACAGCAACTACGGAATGCTACTAATGAAGCCGTGCAGGCGTGAGTCCGCGGGTGATATGGTCTTCGTGTGGGAGGAGTTGCCACCGAAGATCTTGGAATCATGTGCCGCCAGATTAGTTGTCCATACCGTCAATGAGTTCTGGGCAAACGTGACGCCAACTATCGATGAATAGCGACAAATCTATACGCTCATCAAATCTTGCTTGAATGCCGCCCCGGAGTGGTCTTGCTGAGAGGCAAATTGAAGAAGCATACTCTGTGGTCTTCTGCGGCGCAGGCGATGTTTCTGTTTGGGGCAGATTGTAAGGATGTGTGCGAGGAAGAAGGCCTTTCTCTGGCGACTGTTGAGGATCTTTACGCCCCTACATCGTGCGCTGAGAAGGAGAAGAAAGCTGGACCCCTGCTGCCTGTGCCATTGCGTCTGCCTTGATCCAGAAAGAGAATGAGGATAGAGCAGCAAAGAAAGGGGAGCGAGGACTTGACGATGAAGAGGATAGGACCTAAGGAGCAGGTGTTGTGGCTCGGGGGAAGAGTAGTGATGGCACTATGGAAGAGGAGTTTCGAAGGCGCTCGGATAGTTTCGCATGATGATATGGCTTCTGGAGGTCTTTGGGTGGAGGTAGCATCAAACGCTTATGCTAGTAATCTGAAATGGTCATTGGTGATGACCGAAACGTTCCGAACAGAAAATGAACTGAAATGGACATGACGTTCGGAGCAATGCTCTCCTTGGTGATGTCTGCGTAAGGTAGCTGTTAATCTTCTGAGTTTAACTTTGGTTTCCTGCCCTATTTCTTGATTGTCAGCTAAAGGTAATTTGAAAGATAATATATACCGTGTTTTGTGGGACATTCACCCCTTGGCCGCCTGGGTTTCGTAGCCGCCGCCGTTTAGGTGCCACATTCAGAAATGATAACAATCTGAAACCACCACACCGGTGTAAAGAGCGGTCTTGAAATGAGCACGGAAATACCACCTGGGGAATGATCGACTATAGTGAGTTTTCAGGTACACTTGTATTCTTGTATTCGTAGAACTGTTCTATCCTGTCGTTATTAGACGGCCGCCGCGAAGCGCCTTCCCGCTCAAGGGACCTTCTAATATATATCGTAACACGTTAAATCATACAGGGCCGGGAGCATCAGTGGCTGTCTCCTTTTTCGGCTCCCTCTGAGGCTTCGCCTCTATTTGCTGCCATTGATGCCAGCTGTTGGGTGCTTTGAAAATGTCAGCGAAGATCCTTTGGCTAACTTCGGACTCAATGTACCTTGTAGGATGTATCTATCCATAGCCTCCCGGAAGCGGCTCTTATATTCCTGAATTACAACTTAGTACCCTGTTAAGATGTCTAGAATGGTGCTCGTACCTTGGGTGATGTGACCGTTGGACGGTTTCTCCCACCACCGGCGAAGCCGCGATCTGGAAAACAGTCAGATAAATCACAGGAATTATGGGTCAAGTGGCTCTTACCTTTGATCCATGACTCGAGCTTTTTGTCCTGTAACGATGAGCACCAGTGTAGAAACGACAGGGTATAGTTTGCTTACCCAGGTGTAAGTTCGGACAACATCGATGATGCCTACCACGAGTTCTTTCCGAGCCTTTGTTGTGTCAGTCAAGTCACCGCCGGTGCTAGGTGTCAAAAATTACCTCATCGACAGCCACCATCAAGGAATAATCCATGACGTCGTTCCTCTGTAGAAAGAGGGTATCATTAAAGATGGCAGCTCGGAGAAGCTTTTTCGAATGCTACATCAAAAGTAAGTCCCCAAGTCTGGGAGGCATGAGAGGAATTAAATCTGTACCTCGCGAGCAAACAATGGCGACTCGTAGATGAACTCGACCATATTTTCATCTAGAAGAACTTCGTTCTGTTCTCCAGTTGACTGGATCTTGCGATTTCGCATTGACCCCTTGAGATCAAAGATGCGACTGGGCGAGCGGTCGTAAAATAGATTCTCCATTACAAGAACATCCCATTTGATCTCTGTTCCTGTCACGGGGTTCTTAATAATAATCTGGTAAAACCCAAGCATTTTCGCAATGACAGTCGGAAGATCATGGAAGAGCGCCTCTGCCATAATGTTGAAGTACGCCGGCGCAAACTTGAGGAAAGCCTGAGTCTCGATTGGTGAGAGCGACTTGACAACCAACCTCTCATCTAAAGTCTTAAGAAAGACCGACTTGGTTTTCCCACCCTTGGAATCCCATTTGAGGCAACGCGATAGTGACTCGACGATGCGATCAGACACACCACACTTCCTTCGTACTGCATCGAATTGCTCTGCAAAGAAGATCTTGCATTGCATTCTGGCAGAACCATCCATGAACGAGTACGCGAGGTGAGTACCAGTCGCCCTGAGTAATGAAGTTTCGACCTCTGCCTGGTCCATACCATCCTGGCATGCGTCGGGAATGTCGCCTTTTGTCGGCACAGGGCGAACTTCTCGCTTACTACTTGCTCGACCTTGACTGCGAATGTCTGCTAGCTTGTCCTTGTAGTCTTGTGTTTGCAACGTAAAGGCAATGAGCGAGCTCGGTTCGTCCTCGCGGACAATGACATCGATATCTGCGAAGATGTGGTCGCCAGCATTGATGGGGTAGTCCAGGGGTGTCCACCCACTCGCAGATCTTTCGGCCCAAAAGTTCGTCAGCATCTTCATCAAGCTTGTTTTCTCGTGCTTCGGTATGTCTAGAGGCATATCGTTGGGTTTTCCAGCGCGTAAAGACTCAGCTATCTCAGCAGCGCCGGGAATAATGTCGTCAAGCAAGGACTGTTCGATATCGCTGGGGGGGCCGTCATCGTCTGAGCCAGTTTGGCTGACATTATGCTGATTATCATCAGTCTCAGCCTCAGTGGCTGTCTCGTCTGCGGTTACTGCAGTATCGGTGGGAGAATGGGCACCGCTATCACCAGGGGTAGTGTTGGTGTTCAGGTCAGCAAGACCTCCGACAACACTGGTGACTTCGTCTGCCGGATGCGTCGGTTGAACAGCAAGCAAAGCTTCATCACTGGGTCCACGCTCCTCCACGGCTTCATTAACGTCTTTGTAAACCTCAACGATCGGTTTCGACGATGCCGTTGGGAATGCTCTCGATTGAGTGACCTTTGCTGCACGTTGTTTCCTGTCCCGCATCCGTTCTTTCTCAAATTCTCGGCTCAACTGCTCGAAATGCTTCGCTAAGGTAGAAACTTTTGATTCTTTGCGTTTGCTGTGAACAGATCTCGGAATGAGTGAGTGTCCAGCCTTGCGATGTGTTTTGAGAGTATTAAGTCCTAGTCTTTCAGACAACTTCTTGTCAGTCGGCTTCGCGGGCTCCGTTGCCGATGGTTTAAGAGTTTCAAGAGGAGTCGATCCGCTGTCAGCTTGTGATCTACTGTCCTCAGGCTTGCCAGGAATTTTGGTGTTGGTATGCACACGGCGCAATGTTCCAGCAGGCTGTGACTGTGTGCGGTTCAAGGGAGGAGAAGTAGCTGTGCCACTGCGTCGAGAACTACCGCGTTCGGAAGGTCGTGGGATGCCTGAATGTTCTGATGGGCCAGGCTCACCAGAAACTGAAAAGTTCGCTTTCCGGAGCTTTTCCACCTTCTCCGATAGTGTTGACTCTAGTGGTAGATCAGAAAACGCTGGGCTAGAGATACCGGAGTCATTGGGACTCATAGGACACGAGACATCATCAGTCGATAGAGGGGTTTCAGCTGGCGCCGGGTGAGACGTTTCACCTTGTATCGGAAAAGCTAGATCAAGATGTTGAATGCCCTCTCGTTCCAAGTCCGACACTTGTGGTTGTCCTGCCGGTAGACCAGGAGAATTTTGTGTCTCAGACAGCGAAGCTTCAGTAGGCATCGAGTTTTCTTCTTCCACCACGGACGTGAGAACATCGTGAGCTTCTTCTGCTGATACATTTGAAGGATTGCGGCTCAATTCCAGAGACGTGTGGGGAGACTTTTCGTCCATATCAGACGCTAGATCCGTGCCCTCTGCAGAACCAATAGTAGTCGAAGATTCGTCGCGATCCATGAACATCTTCTTGAGTTGAAGTGCAGCGAGCCGCCTGATATCCTTTTCAGATGGGAAGAAATTGGCATCAAAGTCGGCAAAAGCATCATCCCATTCTGCTACCTTTTCTTGCATGGCTCTCACGGCTCTGTTGAGAGGAATGATCTCATAGTATTTTGACTCCATGTACTTCTCCTGAAGCTTCCGAATGAGAGCTGCGTGTTCTTCTTGTGCAAGCTTAGTTAGACGTTCAACCTCCGCTTTGCAAGCTTCGGCTTTTTCTGGAGCGACACTGTCTATGTTTATCCCTTTGATTCTTGAGTGGACGGATGTCATGAACCGATTCCAGCGTTCCTCATACTTCGTAAACAGTTCATTCTTCAGCTTCAAATCATTGTCAACTTTCCAGGTGACTCTGGTTCGTGGTACGATGATTTCCAGGAGATCGATGGGGTCGTAGTGGATACGGATTGCTACATTTCGGAAGCCGAAGTAGCGGAGGTGGTCGCGATGGATATCATGCGGACAAAACCCAGCTCTCAGACGCAACTCACTGCTCCAAAATGATAGCTCCAAATATTTCCCAAGCGAGTATTTCCACGTGCTTTCGGACATTGGCATTACTTGAGTTTCCTTTTGGCAAATCTTGCAATAGCTCCACATGAGTATTGAATCTTGGAGGCCTTTGATCTTGCAAGGTGACTTCTCCACAAAGACCGTGATGCGTGCTTCGCCGTGTACGTAAGTCCTGTGATGCTCAGACATCTTGCGCTCGCAGCCGTTTGAAGTGCAAATTGTGTTGACGCCCAAACATAAGTCTTCCACGTACTGTCCAAGGGTACAGTCCGGATCGAACTCGGCGTGTTCATTATAGAAAGCCAATGCCAGTAACTCGGGACCTGCGCAGGGAATTGATGTGGCAGTGCAGACCACGGTGTAGAGAACTGTTATGTTCTGATGCGCATAAGGATCAAATAGATTGAGATTTCCTTGGATATAGTTCTCCCATTGTCGTTTTTGAGTTTGGTAGTTATGCAACGCTTTATCGTATTCAGCATCGTGCACAGCATGTAGAACCTCCATAATTTGACGAGGCGCTCTTTTGACTGTCTCATGGACCATTTCGGGTTTGATGAGCTGGAATTTTTGTAGTTTCAATTTCTCGGTATCGGTTTGCTCTTCGAAAGTATCTTGGTCTCGCAATCTTTTCAAGTATACAAGCCTTCTCTCTTGTTCCCGAGCCCTCATCAAGAGATATGGCAGTACAAATTTAACGAATGGAGAAGCGGATAGGATCTTGGTCTGGTGTTTTGCAACCATGTCGCTGTAAAAGGTGGGCATAGGTATATCCTCGGGCAGCTGGTCCTCATGGGATACATGAGCGTGGGATTCGTGTGCAGAGACAAATTTTGGCGCTTCCACAGATAATGCACCCTTGTCGTCCTTCGAGGATTGTGAGTTCTCTAGACTCTTTACATCCGTACTGGCAGATTTCGGCCGTCCATCATCATTGATGCCATTTCCAGTTCCTTCTGAACTGGTCAATTTTAGGAGCTTCTTTCCAGCTTCGGCAACAGCTTGTAACTTGTCACTGGCGGCTGCAACGGTATCGCGTGGAGGGGCAGGTTCAGAGCCTCCAGACCGAATTGCTTGAGAGAATTGCAGTCTGCTCGGGGAGAGGCTACCGCTGTTCTCAGCTATTGATGGAATAAGAACAAACTCATCTCGCATCAGACAAGTCTCGAGCTTAAGATTATAAACCACGTAAACCATGAACTCAGTGATGCGCTTCATCTTAGAGAGAATGGTCATGTCTGCGCCACGCAAAGCGATAGTGCAGCCAAGGTCTTTCGGGCAACCAGATAAGTAGATGTAAGTCTTCTTCTTCCCCGGGATGTCGTTGTGGACGTAGGTCTTGACATCGAACCCACCACTTTTGCCAACATGAACTGGTTTCAGAGCAACCATGTCGATTGAAGAGATAATCTCCGTCCGCGCAAACCGTGATACTGCTTCGATGACGGATTGCTTCACGTTATATGCCACGGCAATATTGGCTTCCGCCAAATATTGTAGTGCTAGCCCAGAGATGTGTTTTTGTACAAGAAGAAGTTGAGGGCGCAAGGAGGCAATGCGATTGACCATATTTCGAAGGAATTCTTTCTCCTGAGCAATGACAGGCTCAAGGCTCATGAAATGATGTTGATGCCTTTGATACTCAATAGGGAACGAAACAATCACAATTCTAGGGTTCGAAATACTCCGTGGCATGCTTTTAAGGGCGAGATTTTTTGTGAAGACAACGCCAGAAACATAAGCTGTATCTCCAGGCTTTCCGCCAGGGATTTTTTTGAGCTTCACATAGTGTCGAATGTCAATATCATCGCCAAGGCGAACGTTGGGGTTGACATCATCTGTGCACTGCAGCAGTATCGGAACCAGGGCTTTCTCCCAGGAAGAGACATTAGGGATGTTGGCGTCCTCCAATAATTGATGCAACATTCGTCGAACGTGATGTAAACTGGCATTATTGAGTTCGACAGCTGGTGCTTTAGCATCTCTCATTGATGCACTTCGGGTCATTTTTGATGGTCCAAGGGTGGAGGCCGTGGACAATTTATCTACGCCATTGAACTCCTCGTCCAGATTCCCGAACCCCTGGACCGGCTGACGAGGAGAAGTTCTGGAATGATGCAAACTGGCGCTAGCAGCACTGAGATTGCGTCGCCGGTTCGGCCGCCCGAATCCAGCAGAAGCACTGATATCATCTAAACCACGACTGGTGAAGCTGACACCACTGACACTCTTCTCTCCGGCCCTAGCTCTGTGTTTCTTGCTCGAGCTCAAGAGTGAGCCAAAGCCCGACCTGTCATTTTCAAAGCTGGGACTGATGACGCTGCCGCTATTCAAGGTTGCAAATATACTCATTTGCTCATCTCCGCTCGACTCTTCGTCAGACATGTACGGTGCCAGATCCGGGTCGATGATGTTGTCGTCGTGAAATGCAGGTAATCTGGATCTCTTTCCCAAATCATCCGTCACACCACGGTGGAAAGGAGCTCTTTCTTCGGCTGTGGGCTTAAAGCGACCAAGAAAGTTATGCTTCGAATGGTGCCGTTTATGGCCCGACGATGGTGGCCGGCCTGCCGCAGACAGAGCTTTTAAAGACCTGGAGGAGCTGGGACGGCTCAATTGCGGGGCATCTATTTCTAGGACTGCTGAGCGCCTGTTGGTTGATTCGCCGATTCGCCGAGTTGCTGGTATGGCCATCATTGGAGTCGCCAAGGGTCTAGAGGGATCGTTTCCAAAGGCTTGATCCTCGACAATCTCCTGATTTACTCCTTCTGCCGAATCAGCCCTGCTTGAAGCTTCGTACTTTGCTTGCTGTGCCTGGAAGAATGTAGGCAGGACGGAGTCATCAGCAGACTCGTCAGATCCGCTACTATCGTGCCGTCTGTTGATGATATCAAGACACGTCTTGCAAACTCTCAACGAGCCCTGAACACCAAATCGTTGACCGGATATAATAGATGTGCATTTGGAGTCGAAAATGCACCCACATGTTCTACAGTGGTGTTTTCTTCGAAATGCAGAGAATGCATCTCCACATAGGAAACATTCTTTGCAAATCTCGTCTGCCATCCAGAATTCCTTACTTAGAACCTGCTTTCTCATCTGCTCGAGCCTTGCATTAACAGCTTCTGGTGCACCTTCATTGGTCGTTGTTCCAGGTATGCGTAACCTGCCCAGATAGCCTAGCTGCGGGCCATCATCAACGGAAAAGGACTCATGGCGTACACTGTTATGTGCAGAAGTGTTGATAGGACTAGTCTCAGCAGTGCTGCGATCTGTCGAGGACGCCCTTGAGGCTTGATACCCAGGTAGATGGGATTGGGTTATTCGTTCAATTGCAGCAGGCCTTTTCATTCCATCTGGACCACTTCGAGATGAAGCATTTGCTCGTGTATCCGTAGCTTGGAGCGAAGATAACGCTGAAGAAGCACTTTTGGATCCGCCAATCGGCCGCTTCATCAGGTCGAGGCTTCCGTCTCCACCACCAGTAACATGAATACCCGGACCTTCCTCTGCTTCGACCCCATCTTCAGTACCTTCTGAATCATCCAGAATAGACAGGTCATCCACCGTACGCGCAATTTGACGAGAGTCAAAGCCGAAAGTGCTAGGATGTTCATGTGTGGTACTCGTCGCAGCCGAGGATGGCCCCTCAGACCTTTGATCCACTGTCGTCCGCCCACTGTCGCCATCCTTGAAGGCACTGACGTTGACCGGAGCAACAGTAGGGACAATTGCAGACGATGTTGTAGCCTTTGTCATAGGCGTTATGGGGGGGCGGGATGAAGACGCAGATTTTGTAGTTGCAGGGGTGGTCGCTGGAGTAAAGGAGGTTTTGGAAGACTTCAAGGTTTGTGACTGGCTTTGTGACTGGCTTTCTGATGACTGTCCAGCAAAAGTTGAGGCCGTGGGTGATTGAAGACGGGATGAAGATGTCGATAATTGAGCTGGAGATGCGCTGATTCCACTGTCCTCTCTGGTTGGAGGTAATGTTGATTTAGGGTTGGAAGTCGGAGTTGTCTGACTCTTCGCTGATACGCTCTCTATGCTTTCATGATCCCCCTTCGTCGATGATGGGCCACTCTTCTCCTTTCCACCGCCTACCGCCCCCCGGAAACGGCTGTATAATCCACTAAGGCCATTTTGCATGATATCCCCAGCAAGTCCCTTACTTTCTGTATTGGCAGATGGAGGCGGAGGTGAGGCAAATTCGTTGAATGTTGTGAGGGTTTCTGAGTGACTAGCAGTACTGTGTATTTTGTCCAAGGCCTGAGCCAGCTGCTCTTTGTCTACCGCTGTTGATCCGGAGACAGAAGCCAAAGAACCACGCCGTGACCGCAAACCGAGGGGAATCAGGGACGGCGGACCGTTAAAGGCCTGGGGAGAATCGTGTGTAGACATGGTGGCGGATGTATTCGCGAACTGTAGGGTCAAGGAGTTGAGTAGTAACGTTCAGAGACGTAGAGTCGGTTTCTCGTGCTTGAAGTTGAGGCAAGGCTTAAGGAATGGTGTGGTCTAGGTTCAGTGATGTATGGCGGTGCCGCCAGACCGGCGTTTAGAATGGAGGATCATGCCATCGAGTCGAGATGGAGAATAGTTTGTGTTATCGAGTAACAGTCTGCATGGTCCAGATGTCAGACAGTCGTCAGTGGTTGAGCAGGAAGGCTGCCATTTGGGGGAGCTTGAACTAGTGGCAATGGCGATTCGGCGCACGAGATGGCTATAGAAACAGTTTGCGATGAAGCCTAGTGGTGGGGAGTTGTGAGTTAGGATTGGGAAGCTCAGTGCTAGGAGCTGCGGCTCTGATTTGAGTCGCCAGCCGGCTCATAAATCACAAGGAGTTGTAGCACGCCGTTGCCTCGCGTGCCAAATATTTGGTCATCACGCATATCACCAGCCACACTTTACCAGCCACACCAAACTTTCTTCAGCCTTGCACGCGTTAGACGCGTCCGACGTCAACCTCATCCAAGTCACTACATCGACATGTGATTGTGTTTCGTGCAAGATCCAATTTATTTGCCCTTTCTTCGAATGATTCGGACCCGTACCTCTGCTCTAGGTAGCCACTCCGGTATCTGGTGGCCGGGCGCAATATGGTCAACAAATAATCGTCTTCTAGGTCAAACGCGCTGGCTCTTGACCCTTTGGAATAATGTCTGCTTCAATGCGTGACTGGATTGGCCCGCTGGTGGAGTCTGAACTGAATTCTGCTCTGGCCAGCTTCGAAGGCAAATATGTCCCGGGCCAAAAAGTTGAAGATGGCCATAAAGTTTGTGGCCCGGACACCGTGACTATGCATGTCAAGAAAGGACGGGAGGTTCAGATCATTGAGGTGAGCAGCCACCTACCCATAATTGCCGCTAGCTAATATATCAACAGTTCAATGGGCGGGGTGTGCACCCGTTCGAGGCAACTGTCTCGGACGGAACAACACATATTCGGGCAACTTTTGACCGTGTTGCTACAGATGTGTTCAAGGAAAGGATTGGCCGGGATTTCTTGGATATCAGAGGGGCTGTGATTGCTCTTATTGATTATAGAATTGTAAGTTACCTCTCTAATCATGTTGCCTGCATATGCTGACCTAGAGTCCGGACCTTCAACCGAAATTCCAAGATGCCTAGAATACTAATCCTCGAGGTGTCTGAATTCAAGCTCAGGGGAAGTGAAGGATCCAAACCGTTTGGTCGACCTTCGGACGTTTTAAAAAATGAGAAAATCCGCTTAGCCCTTAGCAAATTGGAAGAACTGTTGGATGGCGACGGACATGAGAGTGAGATTCGTTCGCAGCCACCTTCACCAATTCGGCCGCGAGGGAACGAGGCCTTGGCTCCGGGTAATCCCTCGTCAAGCGGCTCTGGGTCTCAAGAGGCTTTCGCCACCCAAGTCTCTGTCAGAGTTCAGAGGAACTTAGCAAGCCGAGTCGATGCCGAAGTGTCCAAACCTGGAATACATCAATGCCTCATTGGTCTACTTTCGGAAAAGGTTCCACCCGCCGAGCAGAATGATAACAGCACGGCGAAAGACACTCTCTCAGAACTATCAACTACTTCGGCGAATCCTATTCAGAGGAGGCCTGTTTTGACGACAGTGTCATCTGACCGGGTGTTGGAGATGACCTCCAAGCTCGAAGCAAAGGCCAACGAACAGCGCAGCCAGTCCTCACCATCTCGGCGTGAACAGCCAAGCGATCCCAAGAGCCAGTCCATTTCTGCCAAGGATTCGAGTTGTGAGGATATGGCGGCCCCACTTTCTGATGACAGCGAAAAGGAGAACAGCCAAGAGAGCTTAAAAGGAAGGAGACCAAGAGCCAATGCGCCAAAAAGTCAGCCGATCCCACAACCCAACATTGAGCAAGAAGCTGTCCAAATGTCCGTTACCGATCAATTTCAGGATAGCAATCCATTCCATGGCCTCAAACGAGTGCCACGAAGATTCGTGCGGATTCATGAGTCCCAGCAAAGGCTGCTTGAGGACAAAGAATCTTGGTATAAACCTCCGGAAGACAGCCGATCTACTTATGCGAACCTCCCAGCCAAAGTGCGTGATGATTTAATTGCGTTTTCGGAGGAGAAAGCGCCATTCGATAAGTCAAGCCAAGGAGGTCGAGCAAGCGAGGTGGGTAGTGACGATTCCGACGACGGTGAACAGGCTCAGCACACGTCGAGTGGTTATGAGAGCGAAGGACTGGAGGAAGAGGGAGAGAGCGTGAATCTGACGGAAGACGAAGATAAGCAGACGAAGCATCCTCGAAAACGGACAGGAAAACATCTTGAAACACCTTCAGGGACTGCTGGTACTTTACGTGGGGGTAATAGAGGGCAAAATCTCGAGACCTCCAGCCATGGTCGACAGCATATCATACTTTCAAGCATATCTGATGGTCTGAGAGACGAGATTGATGAAGCTCGACAATCTGAAGACGATGACACACCGGACGAAGAGGTGGTTTCATGGCCTTCAAGTCCAGAACAACGACCAAACGCGATGGAACAGAATATTGTAAGCTACGATCATCCTTTGAGCTCGAGCAACAAGCAAGGTGAATTTCTTCATGTTTTTGGAAGGAATCGACAGCCTTCGCTAGACACGCATCCAGATATGGGAGCCTCGGAGCTAGAGTTAAATTTCCCCACTCACCATCAAAGCAACAACCAACGACAAAACCAGCTATCAACACCTCATTCAGTGGCACCGGTGATAATCCCCTCCAGCAGCCCTGTAGGAGAAGAGGAGCTTGAATATGCTACTCCATATGCGGTTGGAGACTTAGTGGAGGAGAATGACTCCGAAGAAGAATCTTCAGAGACATTCCAGAGACACCCGTCAACAACCTCACAGGACGCGAGACTAGTGCAGGTGGAACAAACACCTTTCCCACGAACCCGACATTCTGGCGGCAGGTCGCTCCGGTTAGAACAGGCCGACGATTCTTTGAAAGAATTTAAGCGAGTTGATGATATTATTTCATCAGATTCAAGAATTCCAGCCACTTGTGAGGCTCCCGCTCAGTTACAGACAACGCCAGGATCGAATGAAGCAAACGACTTCGATAACGAATCCGAGATGAAGAAGTTGATAGTAGAGTACCGAAGTGAGTCTCAGCTTGCAGGTCACGTGTACACTGGAATCAACCTCAAGGAGGAAGACAAGGAAGATGATCTGGCCCAGCAACAATTGTTCAACGAACACGAAAGCTCGCAGCTGGATCACACTGCACTATCAGCCAGAAACCAGGCTGCCATCTCGCTCAATATAATTGAAAATCCGAAAAGGTCGAGCCCAGAAAGAGAAACTGCTATGCTGGCGTCACCAAGGAACTCGACGACTGGCGAATACCGGACTGGGCAGCAGTCGCCGCCTTTAGGCACTCCTGTTTCGACCGAAAAGCAACTTAATGAAAGTTCTCCTATCGTGATAGGCTCAGTGAAGCGAGGTAGTGGTGAGGGATGCCCTCAAAATCCTGCCAAACGGCGCCGCCGTGCACCTATAGCCCGCATGATCGAGGAAGAAGATGATCCTGCTCAAGATACTAAGGAAATGGCCAGAATAAATCGACACAGTTTCAGCGATAATCTTTTATCGGCTAGGATGAACGCCTCCATCCCGACCGGCTCTCGGTCAGATTGTGCAAAAGCAAAAGAGGTCATACCTAGTACCAACCCTGCAGTTGGACAGATTCCAACCCTTTCGCCAGAAACCGCAATGCAGTCGTCGGCAATGGACGGTGTGCATCATGTACCAGCTACCTTCGAAGAACCGAATTCAACTTCACCGCCAAACGCCTTTAAGAACGTCGACACGTCTATGCAGAGTGCGGAGATTGATTACCATCCTGCTCCAGCAAGCCCAATTGAAGAAATGGATGCCAATTGTACCTCAGATGGCGAAGAAGATGCTGTATTGAGAGGCACCTTTCTTCCGACGGCCGAACCAGTACCGCATGCACAAATCGATTTCTACGGAGACTTCATGCATATGTATCCTGAATACCTGGGCAGCAGGAATGCTTTCACCAGGGCATTGGTGTACATTGAATGGATCAGAGAGAATGAACGATTCCTGCCCTGGGCTCGATACGATGATTTTATCCGGGTCCATGCTTCGGACTGGTTGTATTACGTGGACAAAAACCGTGATTTGGGTGATAAACTCATGAGTGGCTTGAAGTACTACATGGAGAACTTCCCCGACCAGCCTTCGTTCAAATCCAAGTTCATAACTGGCGAGAATCTGCAGGGCGCTCTGTCATCTCTTGACCCAGAGCAAGTCGCTTCGTACCGCGCCAAATATCGCGAACCGCTGCAGCCACCAAAGTCAACATCACCACAGACTGCAGTGGGGGTGGCTACTATACAACGATCAGCGAATGTAGAAGTCTCCGAGCCTGCACTTATTGGGGAGGGCTATTTGGCTTTGAACAGTGAGGAACAACTTTTCGTCTCCAACGGCCGGGAGGCAAGTCCTGAGTTGGGAGCAGCGAAAGTCTCGTCTGGCCGAAGTAATCACAGACCGAGAAGGCCATTCTTCGAGACTCATAGTCAACTTCCTGCTGCGAAGCGCCAGGCAGAGAGTCTCGACCATCGTCGACCGGTTGCCATGGGTCTCACCTCCGGTGAGTGGAAGACCAATAGTAACAAGGTTCTCCCATGGAATAAGAACGACTCGCCTGGAAGCTCGAGCTTTTCTTCTCCTAGATCAGAAGCCAAGTTTTCAACTCCAACGGCGTCTAGGCGAAAAAATCGTGGTCGATTACCATCCGCAGACCAGCGGGATGCGAGCAGCCCAACGGGCCAGCTACGGCGATCATTAGTCCCTCCTGTTCCTGTTTCTCGGAGCGAGTCCTCGAGACCCCTGAAACGAGTCAAAACTTCTTCCACGCCGCCATCTCGCGACCTAGACGTTTTCAAACGACATTCGTTACCAGCTTCGAGCGTCATTTCACTTTCCCGGCCAAATATGCCGAAGCAAACCATCACTGAGGGAGTGAGCCCGCGAGGACCAATGCTGCAAGAGTTTCTCGCCCGGAGAAATAAGAACGGATCGACACCCAAGACCACTCCCGGAAAGAGATTCTGCACTAAGCCGGCAAAAAGTCCGCCTAGACGAATCGAGCCGGAGACACAGGGATGGGACTCCTAAGACTGGAAATGCATATAAGAGTAGTGAGTAGGATAGATTGGAGATAAAGGAACGGAATTGGGCATTTGACCTGTTGGCTGTGGAGTCCAAATATTGTTGAGATATCCACTAAAGCAATGTTTAATGAATCTGCACCAAAGTGTCCTCATGCTCATCGTAACTCACGTGAGGCAACCTGATGCGAGATCAATGAGGCCTTTTCGTCTGGCACAACAGATGGTTCGCAGCTTGGGGTACTGCTGTCCGACCTTCAGCAACTTGTTCCTCAGTGCCAGACCGGCATCCTCAGTCCTTGAAGTAGCTCGAATTCATCCCCAATATCATAGGAACAATTCCTCTAGGCAACGTCAACCTTGGCGTCAACCCCCTCGCCCTTCCTTGTGGAGTCGCGCTCCGCTTGCTTCTGTTCCTCCTCCAATGTCCTGGTCCGCAATTGTAACGCATGAATGCCCCCCTCCCTTGCCATCTCCTCTTTCAACAATGCATAAACCATCCGGTGCCGCGCTGGCTGCATCTTACTCTTGAAGGCCTCGCTCGTAATGACGACTCGAAAGTGTGTTTCTTGAGACGTCGAGCCTGCCATGGCTTTGTGGTGTGAGTGCAGGTGGGAATCGTTATGGATTTCGAGTGTCGAGGGCTTGAGGGCTTCGGTGATCTGTTTAACTTGGGATTTAGTATTGCCTACGGTTGTGTGTAAGATGATGAAGGAGGAATACCTTTGTGCGCATGGCGTCTTCCATTGGTGTTTGCAAGGCCATTGCTGAGAGCTGTCGCCGTGCGAGAGACAACACCGATCTGCGCAGCATCTGAACTCTTATCCCGCTCGACAATCAACCGCAAATCCTCCGTTGAAGCTGAAGTTGAAGCTCGTGATGTTGTCGGAACGAAAGGATGTTGATCCGGCCCGTTGCTGCAGCCCGATAAGATCGTTCAAGATTGCCGGATGGTTTCGGCCTTCGGCCACCGGCCAGGCAATTTTTTTATGGCCGAAGCCCCTTGACGTCGTCCACTGCAGCACTCAAGCCCCTCTAAAGATATGCCGGACAGCGGACCTCCGTGGGTAAAGAGCCACCCCTGTCATACATTGATGGGCATCCCATAAGAGTTGATCCTCGTCGGTGATCTTTCCTTCCGCAATGCAGTCCGCCGCGAGAAGGATCTCCTCCTACCTCCGTCGAATACAGGCCGTTCCTCCATTGTGTTATAGAAGGCAGAGACAACTCGCCATCCAGTCCGTATCGTTCAGAATGGCGTCGACTTTGCCCCGGCTACCAATCTTCGAAGCCCTTGCAGGACACGATCCGAATTCCACCGTCGTGGTTCACTCTGCCTCGGGGCGGAAGTTTACATATGGGGAATTGTTGGGCGATGTCGTCCAGGGGAAGGAGAGGCTGTTGAAAGAGGGGGGTGGCAAGATGGATGGAGAGAGGATAGCTTTTCTCGTGGAAAATAGCTATGACTATGTAGGTGCGCATTTATTGATTCGATATATCTGTTGGGACTGTATTTGACGATGTCTAGTGACCTTGCTTTCTATTCTCGGGGCGCATTCAATTGCATTACCACTTTCTCCTGCATTCCCAGCACACGAATTACAGTATATCATGGATCATAGCCAGGCTTCACTGTTGTTGTCCTCGAAAAAGTTTGAAAGGAAGGCCTTGGAGGTTATGAAGGAAAATTTACAGAAAACCCCGAAGCACATTCGGTTGGCGAAGAAGATGGGTGGTGCGGCGTCTGAAAGGGTAACGCTGGAAGGACCTACAGACGGAGGGGCCGGAATGATGCTATACACGTCAGGGACTACGAATCGACCGGCAAGTTCTATACTCTATATAATCATTTCTTGCTGGCTGACAAAATACCAGAAAGGAGTTCTTCTCCCCCAATCCGTTATGACTGCGCAAGCTCAGTCTCTCATAAAAGCTTGGAAATACTCGCCGTTGGATCGCCTGCTTCACGTGCTCCCCCTCCATCACATCCATGGTACCATAAACGCCATTTTCGCTCCTCTTTTCGCAGGCTCTACGATCGAATTCCTCTTCCCTTTCAATGCCCAACATGTCTGGCACCGCTTCGCCGCTCCATTCCTTCAGAAACCATCCACTCCTGCTCCCTCACCGATAACCCTTTTCACTGTCGTTCCAACAGTCTACAATCGGCTACTCACAACATTCTCCGATCTCACTCCAGAATATCAAACCGCCGCCAAAACCGCAATCTCACCGCGAAATCTCAGACTCAACATCTCTGGCTCAGCGGCACTTCCTACCCCAACGAAAAAAGCCTGGAACACACTTTCCTCAGGAAATGTACTTCTAGAACGCTACGGCATGACCGAGGTAGGAATGGCACTCTCTTGTGGTCTCCCCTTCTCCTCACGTGTTGACGGCTCCGTCGGCTGGCCACTACCAGGGGTCGAGGTCCGCTTAGTCGATACGGACACCGGCGACGTAATTAAGGAGGGAGCAGAGCTCGACTCAGAAGGTCGAGAAAGAGATGGCGAGATTCAACTAAGAGGCCCGACTATCTTTAAAGAGTATTGGAAAAATCCTGTAGCAACGAAAAAGGAGCATGTTGAAGGCGAAGACGGGAAAGGAAGGTGGTTTAAGACAGGTGATGTTGCTGTTCGTCGGATCGTTCCTCTCCCTGAGCAGAATGGTACTATCAATGGCCATGGGGAGAAGTGGGACCGGGGCCCAATGTATTTCATCCGTGGCCGGCTCTCGGCCGATATCATCAAATCTGGCGGAGAGAAAGTCTCCGCTCTCGAAGTCGAACGCGAGCTTCTCTCTCTGCCGCAAATAGCAGAAGCGGCCGTCGTAGCTGTCCCATCGGGAAAATGGGGACAGAAGGTCGGCGCCGTCGTTATCCTGAAGGATAACGGAGAAGAGGGAAGGAAGGGGAAGTGGGGTGCGATGGATTTGAGAAGGTCTCTGAAAGACCGGTTAGCGAACTATAAAATCCCGCAGGTTATGAAGGTTGTGGACCATATTCCACGGAATGCTATGGGGAAGAGTAAGTTCCTTTTCTGCTTGTCTTCTTCGGCTTACTTTCTTAATTCTTGGAGAGGTGCTGACTTGAAATAGTTAATAAGAAGCAGTTGGTAAAGGAAGTCTTTCAAGATGAGACGAGTGGGGATGAGATGTAAGAATTGGGGCAAAAATTTAGAGTGTACATTACTAAATTTAGAATGTAACTTACATGTCTTCACCACTCAGCTTATAGCAAATACGAACAGAATAATCAGCTTGTTTGTAGTGGGGATGGTGCCTCCCTAATAATCTCAATGCACCAGATGGCTTAGGAAACATCGAAGCGATACGCAACAATTCTCTTCTCGTACCATATTCACTCGCGACTTCCGGATAGTCTCAACGTACCAGAATCCTTGGAATATTAGGTAGAATATGTAGCGAAATTCTTTGAATGTCATATTCACTCTCATCCCTGTGTATTGTTATCTCGTAACATCCAAAGAATGGAGAAATTCAGCACTTATAATATTCAACTTCCTAAACACATTACTCCTCTCAATTTTACTTTTGATCCTATTGAACAACCTTCCCCTCCCCTCTCTTGGTCACCTTTTCACCTACTCCTTTCGCCTGTCCACCTGTATTCCCAATATTTCCGATATCCTTAACCACAACCCCCAAAATCCAGCAATTGACAGCAAAGAACGCTAACCCCGCGCCCCATAGCCCAGGAACAAAAGTACTCTTCCCTAAAAACTCAAGCTGGAAACCTTGCTGAAGCCACAGGACCTGGGCTGCCACCCAGAGAGCGAGGGCTAAGAGGCCGGTGCGGGGCGAGGAGAGGAGTGTGCAACTGGTTATGGAGAGGTAGAGGGGGAGGAGGATTGTGTACCAGAGGAAATACTTCCCAAACGTTCTTATTAGCCTTCCGCGGTTTTGGGATTGTTTGGAGAGGGGGGGTGGTTAGAAAAAGAAGGGCAGGAGCGACATACCTGGCTTGTACACACTTTATTGAACGTCACAAAGGCAAAAGTCTGCGCTAGCATTGTCGAGGGTAAATCTTTCTTTGCTAGCAGGAGAGGGAGAGCGAAGGCGGAGAGGAATAATTGCGGAATGAAAGCTAGGGATTCGAGTTTTACTGTGTGGGTAGAGGGCGAGGTGGAAGAGAGGTATAGGAGCGTGTTGTAGGGGGAGAAGTTATGCCGGTGGTCGATGCGGGTTACGTGGTGGAGGTAGGTGTGTTGGATGAAGGGGAAGTCGTATCTAGACGTATGAGATCAGCTGACTTCGGGAAGGAGGAAAGACGGGGGCGCTCACTTGGTATACATTAGTGTGTTGAGGAGGAGAAATGTCAGGAGACTTGTGACGGTAAGATCCATCCGGGCCTCATTGAGGAAGTTCTTGGCGATCGTGACCAGACTCCTGCTTTCTCCAGCTTTTCGTGCTGGGTTGGGCGACCCGATATGTTCATCGTCCAACCACCAGATAATAGATGGCGCGTAGATGAAAGGATAAATCTTGAAATGAACCCCGAGACCTAATAAAACTCCTGCTAGAGCAATCTTCTTTTGCGTAATTGCCCATAGCAGAGCAATGACCATCACCCCCAGTAACCCCTCTGAGCTCCCTCTCGTGCTGATAGTCGCAACCATCGGGTTCAAGAGCCAGATACTGGCAAACTTCAGTGCTCTTTCCATTGACATCTTCTTCCCATTCACGAGAACCAGCACAATCAACCATCCGGCAACAATATCACTGAATGCAAAAAGCACCTTGCCAAACGAAAACAACGTGCCTGACCACGTCGTGGGTAAGAGCATCCATGCTAACAATGGTGTGTATCGATATGTTTCTCGCTCATAGGGTGAACCTCCTCGGGAAACAAATCGAGCTGCATCGGTGAAGACGTAGTAATCAATGTCGGTGTATTTCATGGGCGAGTTGGCGTCTTGCCAGAGGCCATAAAAGAAGAAGCTGGTCCTTAAGGCGATGGCGGAGGAGAAGACCAGGACCGGAGAGGAGAAGAAACCCGCCATTGTGACTGGCAAGAGCCGCGGTAAGCGAAGAGTAGATCAAAATAGGTGGCTTCAGGACCCGAGTGAATTCTGCATGTCGGCTTGAGTTGAAGGTTGAAATCACGGGGGTCTCCTGATGAGTTTGAGGTCGGTTACGGAGTGGCTGAGATTTGAAGGCTGCGCTCGGCTGAATCCCTGTTATTTTCGACTCCACAGCACCATGTCAGCTTCCATCCCTCATCGAGATCCAACATCTGGGGTGGAATCGCTGTCCCGCAGGTCGAGTCAAATGCCAGCTGTTAAGAGACATCGTGATGGCGCTGAGAAAGAAAAGGAGGTAGCGGCCTCGCCGTTCATGCCGATGTTTGAGTCGTTCCGAGACGAGTTGGATGAGCATCATGACCGGAGAGAAGGCATTATAAAGGCTTCGAGAGATATCACTGCGGCGAGTAAGAAGATGTAAGCATCTCTCCGGCCTTCGCTCAAGGTCTTCAAGCTAACTTTACGAAGTATTTTCTCCTTGCAAAGGTAAACATCACGTGCATACAGCTCGTCCTCGCTAACTCGAATCAGAGTGCGGACATTGAAGAGCGACATCCCTCCCAAAATTGCAACAGAGATCAAAGATCGTGGTGCTGGGATGCGAATACAGTTTGAGTCCATCGCTGCAGACCTCACTGGCATTAACGCATGGAGATATCAACGTCAAATCTCGCCTGGCATCCAGGAGTTTATGGAAGCAATCTCATTCGAGCATTACCTCCGGACTCAGAAGTTAATCACGCTCGAGGAGGCTTCAAAGACTTTACCTGCAGGTGTTGATCTGACTGGTGATGACTACGTGCTGGGAATCTTTGACTTGGTTGGGGAGCTTATGAGGTTTGCTATTACGACAATGGCTACAACTGGGACGCTACCTGGATCGAAATCTGGTGAGAACTTTGCAGAGGAGCGTGACATCTTGATGGATTTGAGGGTGCTGCGGACTGCTTTCGAGGCCCTGGATACGACCTCGTGTGGGGGGACGGGATTAGGAAAGGACGTGGAGAAGAAGATGGAGGTCATGAAGACATGTGTAGAGAAGGTTGAAACTGCGGTGTACGGAATGATCATTCGTGGCAGAGAGAGACCAAAGGGATGGGTTCCAGACCTAGCAGATGACAGAGCACCGCCAGTAGAGAGCTATTAATAAAGTGCAAAATACTGGGCTTACTGCTGAGCGATTTGGCAGTGTGGGGGTTGCCTCATATTTCAATGTCATCAATTTGCTTCAAACCCCACTTCTCTATTCACCTGACATGTGCGGAAATGAAATTCCCAGAAGATTGTTCCTGGATGTCTCACTTCAGTGAGCATTCATCACACGTGAGCTTCAAAATCCAAGCCTCTTTCTCTGCTTATGACGGAATCCCACATCGAGATTACCGACGCTATGCCATAAAGGGATGATTGCCGACCCCATGCAAGCCACACAGCGGAGGGACAGTATTATTATTTCTGGAGCTGACGATATCTTGATGCACTAAATTTCCCTCCAGACAACAACCATCTTCTGGAGCAAAACAAAAATTGCAAAGATGTTGCGATGGTACGTGATGCTCTGCCAATATCAATTGATGTCCAAAATGAGGAAAATACTTATTGTTCATGTCGAACTAGGTATCAAATGAAGCTGGCCTCGCGCCCATTGCTAACCCAGAGCATCACAACGGCAGTGCTGTTCGCGACGGGAGATACCATGGCACAGCAATTGGTTGAGAAGAAGGGGCTCCGAAATCACGATCTCGCACGTTCGGGACGGATGGCTTTGTATGGTGGAGGTATGTTCGCACTCTCAAGTTGACGTTCCCACCGCTAACCAACAATCTCCCACAGCTATTTTCGGTCCAGCTGCAACAACTTGGTTTAAGTTCTTGCAGAACAAAGTCATCCTCAAAAACAAGAATACTGAAATCCTTGCCAGAGTTGCTTGTGATCAAGGAATATTTGCTGGCACCAACTTGTTCGTCTTCCTGAGCAGTATGGCCATCATGGAGGGTACAAGCCCGAAGGAAAAGCTGGAGAAGAGCTACTGGACCGCCCTGACAAAGAATTGGATGGTTTGGCCATTCGTCCAGGCCATCAACTTCAAGTTGGTTCCCTTGCATCACCGAGTCCTGGTCGTCAATGTTGTCTCATTGGGCTGGAACTGCTATCTCAGCTACTTGAATAGCCAGTAAGGGAATAATTGTATTTGGCTGGTGGTTTCGGACTACAGCTGGCTTAGCGAATTTTCTAGAGTCTGCATCTTCACGGATCACTGCATAGGGCTCAGCGTTGGCGTTCGGGGCGTATAAAGCAATAAGAGAAGACAGAAATAGATTCGAGAACTTTTTCATTTGTGGAATAGAAACATTCCTGATTTCTCTTATTCATGGGTGCAAGGTGAAAACTAATCCATACATATTAAATAGAAAGTGCTCGGCTCTGGAAACCTCGAGTCATTATTGAATTGTCCCGATGTCATCTTCCAGCTCTCCCTCCCTATTGAAGAAACGCCGAGTCAACGAAACATACAGGGTAAAGTGACTTACGAACTCCCCAGAGTGAGGCAGGGAGGGCCCACACTCGACTCACAAAACTCTCTTGCTGTGTTGCTGGCAGGGCTTCTGCCGCTACAGTACAGTACCCCTTTTCTTTGATCACGTGGCTGATTAGATCCCTCGAGTTGATTGGAAGCAGCTCCCAAGCGCGCGACTCTCAATATTTTCAGAAGGAAGGCGCAACTCGCAACTCAAACAACCTTTTGCCCTCAAACCGCACCGCCCTCTTCCCAGACGACACATTGCCTGGAGCAATAGTCGCCACACTGTCAGCTTCCGAACAGACTACCGTCTGACTTTCTTTTCAATCGTCTTGACTGCCGAGCACATTCACTTTGTCTAGGCACACTCCTGCTTCCCACCAACAACCTTTGCGCCACCTCTCCAACCTGCGACCTTCACCTCTTCCTATTAACTCATCTTCACACAGTCGTAATCATGGCAGCAGTTGTTGCTTCCGCACCTGCCAACGGCGACAAGCCCTCGTCCCCCGTCGACCTCTCAACAATTCCCATCTCCCCAGACGGGCACGACGAAAACAAGAACCCCAACGGAGAGAGCTCAGGCGAAGAGCAAATCACCGTTTTCCACGATAAGGACAACTTCAATGTCAAGCATCCGTTGATGCACAAGTGGACTCTGTGGTTCACCAAGCCACCGAGTGGCAAGGCAAGTTTGCGCCGCGTCACCTCCACTGCCATTACGCTAACATTTCCACTCAGGGTGATAACTGGAACGATTTGCTGAAGGAAGTCATCACATTCAACTCGGTAGAGGAATTCTGGGGTGTCTACGTATGCCATTTCACTGCTCCAATATACTGTCTCAAAACTAACATCCTTCCCAGAACAACATCGCACCCGTCTCGGAACTCGCTCTCAAATCCGACTACCATCTCTTCAAGGAAGGCGTCCGACCAGAATGGGAGGACATCCAAAACAAGCACGGCGGGAAGTGGTCATACCAATTCAAGGACAAGCGGAGCATCCCTATCGACGAGCTGTGGCTCCACGTCATGCTTGCAGCTATCGGCGAGACTCTCGAGGATGAAGACGACGGGGAACTCATGGGGGTCGTCGTTAACGTCCGAAAGGGCTTCTACCGCATTGGTGTCTGGACCCGCACAATTGGCAAGAGCATCCCTGGTGGCGGAGACGGCGACGTTGCAGGCGGAAAGGGTCGATCCACGGAGAAGGGCAAGGAGGTTCTCATGAACATCGGCAAGAAGTTCAAGGAAGTCTTGAAGCTGCCTGCTGCTGAAGCTGTCGAGTTCTCTGGACACACAGACAGTGCACACAGCGGCAGTACGCGTGCGAAGGCCAAGTACACGGTCTGAATTTCGGGCAGTTGGCGGATCTGGGCGTAGCTACTTTTTCCGGTTGTTCATGAGGCATTGCGATATGACGTTACGGAGCATGGTTTCTTTACGATATGCATATGGTAGCCTCTGGCTTCCCTCCTTGCGTTGTTTTCTTGCTTTATGGAGGATACTTCAAGGCGTTATTAGCTGAGCGATATGGCTTGGCCTAGGTAATATCAGATGTGAATAGATCGGCGGGCAAATAAAAGTTCATAAAGAGTGAAATCTCAGCAGTACAATGTGAGATGAAATTCCGAGGAGTTAGGTTGAAACACCCCAGTGATAGAGATTGTCCTAGTGGACTCGGAACATCCAGGCATGGCGGTATGGCGGTATGGTACTGGAATGCAGAATTTCTTGCTTCTCCAAACAGGTAAAAGGGTCGAGGCTAGTTCCGCAATCAACCGCACGCCGCTGCTCTGCTTGATTCGTTGTCTCAAGCGAGTTCGGGGGTCCTGTGGGAGAAGAAGATGTTGATCTCAACATCGGGTCCGTCAATAGCTGCTAGTGTCAGTTTCTCGGGTGACTCTGAATGGGTTGAATACACATTGTCTATTCTCAAACCCTTGTCGATAGACTTGTGCTATGATTTAGTGGAATTGTTCCAATAAATATTGTATATCAATTCAGGGAGATAATCTCATTGTTCTCATTCTTTCAGGGGCTTTCACTTCGAGTAAGAATTTAATGTGAGGATATCAAATATTCAACACTTGCGGAGACAGACAAACCTTCGCCATTTCGTGAACTTTGGAAAAGAAGTCCTTTATAAACAACCCCCCCCCCCCCCCCCCCTGGTTATAATCTCAGGTAATCTCACCATGTTTTGTGCCAAGATTCTTCCGATGAACTTGAGTTTATTTAGTTCCTATATTTGGTTAATCAACCGAGTAGAGTGAAGACAGTAGCCCAAGAAAGATATTGTTTTAGTCCTTTCTCGGGGTTTTAATCAAATGAAGGATCAAGAAATACGCATAGGAGGCATAATCTGAGAAGGAGAACACGCACTTTATGACAAGTTGAAAGTGAGTAGTCTTATAAAGGAAGCCACTTCGCCTCCCCCCATTTTCGAGTGACTAATTCACTGTAAACAACTTCACATCATGCTCACTCCTTCCAGTGGATTTTTTGTTGCACATCAGCTGAATGTTTCAAAGGTCACTGGTACATTATACTTCTCCTGCCGCAATCTCGCGATGAATTTCATAGGTTTGAATCTTTGTTACATGTCGGTTCAATGTCCCAGAGAGTTTGGAACATTGACACTATTGCTTAATTAGAGAGAGAGAGAGTGTGTGTGTGTTTGAAAACAATGTTAGTTGAGCATCACTTCAGTGTTCTAACAGTTATAGTACATGGAGATTCTCTTACGGCGTTGTGTGAATTCTCAGAACTCGGGGATTCTGCACATCGCCCACCACTTTACTCCCCTGAGATTCAACGACTCTGAATTTATAAGGAAAATGTAAGAGCCTCCATGGGAATCAGAGGGCACTCGCGTATTGATCGTCTGAAGTCATCAGGGACATTAAAACCATAAAGTCTAGGTTCTCATATCGAATGAAAAGCCAGTTTCATCTCACTTTTCTCGAGACATTTACCTCATTTCTCTGGATCTTGGTGAACTTCCTCCAAAAGAGTTTTGGTGTACTGCGTAAATCGCACTGAATGTCTCAACGAGTTTTGGTACATTGATGTTGTCCTGGATGCTGGGTGTGATGCAAATTCTCGATCAAGGGTATAGTTTCACGACACATATGATTGTACTAACGTTCAATTTGGTATTATTGCAAAAGCCTACCATAGCGCAAAAGCTACGATGCGATTCATTCCCTCCCATCCCATCATAAATCATTATGCACCCCTCGCCGCAAATGCCAGCTTTTTATGATAGAGAACGCCCTCCATATGCCAGCAAACTCCATCGCTACCAACCATTCATTATGCACCATAACATGCCATAAAACTCCTCGGAAATTATTTATTCCTACAGATACCCGCCAAATAAGGACCAATGATAATACCAAACATGAACGCAAATTAATCACACAGAATTCCGACAATTTTCGGTATGGCGCTGCGGGATACACGGGTTGCTGTTAGTTGATTGTAATGCCGCCGGATAGAGACATGTAACTCGAGACTTTGACCGACAGGGGTCGTGTCTTCGAGAAGACGGGCGAGCCGAGTAATTGTCCGTCCTTGAACCCAATGTCGCCTAGATTTTCGGATTTCTCAACAAAGGAAGCCTTTGGCCGGGTTCTGGCAAGGGCATCGACAATCGCGTCGCTCCAGATGCCGGTGCATTGGTTGTGGTTGAGGTTGAAATAGGGGTTCAGGGCTGGAAGGGGTGATTCTGTGGTTGTTAGTGGCGCAATTTCAAAACCTCGAACCCTTGAAACATACCAAGATCGATAAAGCGGATTCGCAGGAAGTCCAACGCTGACAATCTATCCAATGATTTAACTCCAGAGAGAACTAGAGCCTCGAATGCAAGAATGAACGCCATATCTGTAATGCCTGATCCATCGTTCCAGAGAAAAGTTGGCCGGCAAATATTCTTGATAATCAGGTCAACGCTCTTGAGTCGCGACTCCCTAGGATTAGACAGCTTTGCTGCATTGTCGAAGAACGAGTGGCAGACTCGACCGGTATATACGAGATGTTCCAATGTTGGAATTGCCTTTGCCATGTCCACGCAGAAGTGTGTCTTCAGACCAACTTTCTTGAAAAAGAGAGGGGAGACTGCTTCCCTACGATAATCGGCCTCAAGACAAATATTGAGATGGGTGAGGTTCGTGGGTAGTTTCGGGAGAATGGTAGCCATTGAAATATAGCTCTTCGATTTGGGCTTTGCGTATGATCCATGCCACTCTTGGAGATTCGGTAGTGCTAGCGCGATATTCTGGAAATCCTCGAATGATCTGATAATATTCCACTGACCTTTGCAGACCAATGTTCGAATCTTTTCCAATAACGGAAGTGAGAAGCTCTCGTCGCCGACGAATTGTCGGACCATGGGTGGCTTCTTTCTCTCCCCCCCTTCTAATGTTAAAATGCAAGCCTCTTCGAATGTCATTTGAATAAAGGCAAAAACCTCTTCTAAAGTGCAATTGTTCGATGGCGACTGGTAGCTGATGGCGTTGCCAGAATCTGCTAGGTTCGCAAGAGATCGAATCAAAGTAGAGCGATCTGGGGTTGTCAATGGAATGCGAAGAGTGCGATCAAAAGCCGGATTCTTCTGTTGGAAGACGGGGAACCATATCTCAATATGTTTGACGTAGGGACGAAGGTGTGGATGCATGCAGAACCAATACATCGATTGCTCCACGGATTCCCGGGTTCCCTTAATCTTTAAGTGACGATAAAGCCGGTCTTGTATGAGTTCCCTCCATTTGTTACTGACAAGCGCCAATTCCGAGACCTCGCGACGTCTCGAGTGTCTCAAAGCAGTACCCCAACCCCGCAGTGCTTTTGACTTCCCCGCAGTTGTCCGTGACGAGGCTGACGATCTGACTCCGGACAGGTGGTCGAGTATTTGCTCGTGGATTTCGGTAGGCAAGTCGTTAAGCGCTGAGCTCGAGGATTCTGACTGAGGGGCCTGGAGGGAATGAATACGGTAATCATCCTGGCGCTCTGAACCATTTGGCCGCAGTGAACATTGAATGTCCCCTTCAAGCAGATCAGGCTCAGGGAACGGCGTACTCTTCGGTCTATCGGGTGGTATGATATCCTCATCGAGATCGCTGATCTTCACTTGGTCGAGAGGAAACGTCCTGACTGTCGTTGGAGTCGAGGGGCCGGGGGTTGCAGGCGTTGACGCCGTGGTCATGATCGTGGTCAAGTGAAGGCTATGGACCCCGTCATCCACCCTGGATGGGGTTTCTGGTATCATCGCAGTTCTCTTCCTTTCTTCTTTGCACCAACTTTGCAGCTTATCAACAACTTTGATGGTCCTTCATGCCAGTCTTCCGACGCGGGAAGCTGTTCCGTGCGATTGGACCCGATCTGGCTCTGCGGGGTCGTGAGAGGGCTGGTAGATGTGGACAGAATGAGGAGTTCGTGGTTCGAGTCGGTCGAGGGTCGTCAATGAGCGAGCTGAGTCGGCAGGAGGGTGCAAGATTGCGTCGTCAAAGGGCTTTGCGCTGAGGGGGCAGTGCTTCGAGGACGCCTGCGGTGCTGATTGCGCCTGGGTGAATAGATTAGGGGAGCCGCGGAATGTTGGTCTGGCAGATGCGATGCCGTCGTGCTCATCTGAGAAGGAGCGTCGTCCTGGTTGCTGTTGGTGTCCGCTGTGGATTGGGTTTTTCTGCGGAGGGGAGGTGGTGATTGTCGTGGGGAGCGCTGGTTGGCTTTGCCGGCAAGCATCTCACACCACCGGCGCCGGCAGACAATCAAAATCCAACCGCTGCAAATAGAACGGACCAGCCCAGCGTCCCATCGAAGGGTGAAACGGAAATTATACCAAGATCAGACATTAGACCGCCGACCGCCAGTCCCAGCCGTTGACGCCGCCAAGGGTCTGACGTCTTCGACCTGATCCGAAACCTTAATTTTCAGTATAAGTTATATAACCCTCCTCAACCCGCTCCCTCTTTGCTGTCCGAGAACACGCAGTGCAGCACACGCGATCGGGCGCGACTGCAGCAGCAGCCCTACCCGCCTTTCTTCACCAGGAATAGACAAGTGCTTCTGCGGCGTATTGCTTGGGATTCCCGATGGAGTACGTAGCAGTCTGCGCCATTACTGCTGATATTATGCACAAAAGTACACACAGATGTTGAGTTTGACGCATCGCTGCTCGTGGTATTTCCAGGGAGAAGATAAGAAGATGGGGTAAAAGATAGAGATTGAAGATGGGATCTGTCGAGAGTTTTGTATTCCCTCTCGAAGTCCATATGGAACTTCATCCTGCCAGGCCTTACTGTGCACGCGTCTAACTCGTAAGTAGAGCTTCCCGCAACCGGGGCGGCCTTTAGGTGGTAACCACCTTCGCCGGCGCTTGAGGACAGGGGATCGGACCAACAATCCTTTTCATGTATCGTTGCGGATGTCCAACTCTATTAGTAGAATTTCATGCGACCTCTTCTTCACCACGAGTTCTAATTTGGGCTGCAGTGCTTCTGCAAGAAACTGAGAGGCCGTGACATACATTTGAAGAAACCGTATTGCCGCAGCTCCAAATACAAGAAAGCGTCAAGCAGGACGGGGCAGCAATTTAACCAGGTTGGTCTTGGTCACTGCCCATGAAATGCGTAAGCAGAGAGAGGAATTACGGTAACATGAAACTCATCTATCGCCACAGCCCTTTTGGGTCCTGTCGAGAAAGAATTTCGTAGAGATCCACACGTCCCTTCTCCTTGGCCACCCCAGCTGGGGTCAAGCCCCTCACATTTTTGGTTGTGCCATCCACCGCTTTCAAGCAAGAGTTCCACTTTTTCTCTACTTCCCATCCTAACAGCGTAGTGTCGAGGTGTTTCCCCTTCCCGGCGGAAAGCATTGATATCGATACCACGATTAATCAAGAACTTCATAACTGGAAGTCCCCCATGACCTCGCGGACTCATAGCACTGATCAATACCTCTGGATCAAGATCCGCTCCCCCAGATATCAGTGCCTCAAGAACGGCAATATCGGAGTAAAAGCAGCTGTTGAAAGTGGGGTAGCCGATTTATTCTTTCTGAGCCACGCAGGTTGGGATCTGCTCCGTGAGAGAGAAACCACTTGACTCGATCAACGTTGTCGGTTGCAAGTCTGTCGGACATTTGAATTCAGTCTTTGCTCATCAATCGCCAGAAATGAACCATAAAGCAGGCTGGCCAAATTCCATCGAGTTTATATCCCAGCCGTGGTCAAGCAAAGCCTGGAATGTGATATTATCGTCTCTATGCAAGGCACCGATAAAGGCAACCTCAGTGATAAGGGCACCAGTAAAAAGAAGTAGCTCCACAGCGTCAATATAACCTCCATGTACCTCGGAGTCAGCAGCCATCGAGAGAGCTAAATCCAATTCCTGCTGGGATGGAGGCGGGATGGAGGCGGGATGGAGGAAAGTATTCTTTGGATTTCGGGGAGGTCCCGATCTTCGACAGCATTTTCTAGAGGTATCGTGTTTGTTGTCGTAGTTGCAGCAGATAATGCCAAGAAAGTAAAGCGGGAATTTTGGAAGGAAGGTGCGCCCTGATTGTTGGTTACCTGGGGAAAATCCGGGGATCCTCAGCCAGCAAGCTATTCGCGGGAAGCCCCTATCCGCTTTATTCTGGGCTCTAGCGCATTATTTCAAACCTTCCTTTAGAATTTGTATTTTTATCAAGCAATAAGCGACGGCTTTTTCGGGAATCGTATTTAATCAGCCATTCCCTATAAATCCTCCGTCAGCCATTATTTACGGCATACCTTACTTGTTTGGACCTGGGTTTCGTCCGTGTGCTTATGGTGCCTTGTTCAAATCACCCCAATTCCAATGTCATCGAGTTTTTGACTTCCTTCTATCACCACAGCAAGTTTCGCGATGGCTCGAACACGCTCGTATTTCAGCACTCGCGCTCGCAAGCGCCAAAGTGAGCACCAGACCAGGAACAAGACCGAGCACGTGCCCGCCCGCATTCTCGCACGTGAGCCGGTACCCCTCGACCCAGGGCGGCCCTCACTGGCGGAGCTGCCCGACGATGTGGTGCTCCTAGTCCTCAGCTTCGTCGACAATAGCGATTTGGGCAAAGTGGCCTCACTTAGCTCCGCCTTTTACGAAAAGGCACGGCATGTCCAGCACCACACGGTACACATCAACCTGAGCCAGCGTAGCCAGGCGCTAGGGCGCCTCGATGTCCTGGCACGCAATCTTCTGCTGTCTGCCGTCCGCGTGCTCGAGGTAGACAGCAGTAGCAATGTAGCCCAGGAAGGAGAGGAAAGGGACGAGATCCTGACCCGGCTGGCCGATATGCTGCCACACATGACTGGGCTGCGTGACCTGAACTGGCACTTGCCACCTGTCTCACGTGACTGGCGCAGGCACGTGCCAGTGCTTATCCCGCACGCCTTTCTCGATCACGTGCCCACGCGTACGCGCCTGCACACATGCGTTGCCTGCATCGCCACGGACGAGTCGCATGGCCAGGCGAGGGCGTTCCTCGCTCAGCTTGCAAACAACCAAAACCTCTTCTCCCTATCCGTTCACGTCGCCTTTGTCGGCGAGCACGCATGTCGCGCAACGATGCACGTCTTAAAGCAGGTTCTACTCTCGTGCCCGCGTCTCACCCGTATTCCATTGCTCTATATCGGGCCGCCTGAAGGCGTTATGGGTATATCTAGACCGGGGGCCCCGTACTGCGGGCTGGGCCTGTCTGGGGGCGAGAGACTGCCGGCGCTGGAGGAGCTTGGCGTTACGATCTATCCGTGGGGCTATGTGCCCACGGCAGCTCTCCTCGCCATGTATGGTATTTATTGTGCCGCATATCCCGAGAAGGTTAATGAGCTGCAATATTGGGCTGAGACGTTCGATTGGTCGCGAATACGCAGACTAAATGATATCCCTTCTACCCTAGGGCTGGATATTGTTCCGAAACTAATAGCTCTCAAAGAAGTTGTCTTCGAGCACCGATTCGGCCGGCAATGGAACAAAGCTACGTTTCTAGAGCAAGTTCCTACAGAGCTCGAGCTTGTAAGCATTCCGGCTTGGAGCTACGTCAGTAGTAAGCCTGGTCCCATTATTCGGCACGGAGCGGCGCTGCGCAAATTAACGATCCATTGTATGGAGCCGTGGACGGCTGGTAGTCTCGTAACCGATGCAGATCTAGTCGCCTTGTGCAACGGCCTCCCGTATCTTACAGAGCTAGCCCTGGATATTGCCAGGAACAAAAACGAGAACGACTGGCCCTATAGCTCGCTCGAAATTATTGCGAGGTTTCCGTACCTGCAAAGCGTCAAACTATGGTTCGAGCTAGGCTATGGACTTCCTTCACGGCCAATACCACACGTCACTGTTTCTGCAGCCCATCATCTTTTTGCCTACCTCCGGGAGCGGAACAGAAATATACAGCGTCTTGAGCTTTCCTCGGGTGCTCCGAGTACTCCGAGCCAGGCGACCTGGACTCCAGACTCGGATTGGGCGATACAGAATTCTGTCCGCCTCCTATGCGAGGTTTCGTTGCGTGATGGTGATGCAGTTAACGGGTTTATTAGGGTGACATGCCCGGATTTTAGTAAGGAGATGAATGCGGAGCTTGGTCGTCGTGTTAAGGAAAATAGGGAGGGTAGGAGAGGGCTAGCTGAGGATGTAATGGGATTATTGCTCGAGGTTGCACTTGATGGACCGCTGACCCTGCAAGAGTGGAAGGCTTGGGTCGAACTGATGCGGGGATACGAGGCCCAGCGCCAGCAAAAATCTGCTTTCAGGAGGCTCCTTTCGTGTATCTCCAAGTGTATCTGAAAGCTGTGGTCGTTTCGGTTCTTGCTGGGCTACTAGCATCGCAATCAGTGAAAGCAGCTTTCTAGCTTAGTTCTTTTGCACTAGTTTGTTCGTTCAGGATAACCATCTGCCGTTGAAGGTCGAGGGGCGTTCAAGAGAGCTACATCAGCTTCGCAGACTTGGTGACCAGTGAGGTGCATTCAGAAAGGGAGGTATTGAGAAGCCTGGTCGATTCGAGAGTCCCGTGGAAGGCTTGAGTGGAGAATTTAGGAGCTGGTGCCTAAGACGAAGGTGGCACGGACTGAGGGTCTAGAAGCACTCTACGAATGTACGTCTGCAGAGCTTCGAACTCGAGGACGGATCGAGCACTGTTTGAGACCTCTGCTCGTGGCAACATGAGATTGACCTTACGTAATGTCATGGCCCGTTCAGTGATCAAGGAATCAGAGGAGGTAAGGCTTGTGGTGCGAGAAACTTAAGGAGATAGGGGGAGAGGACGTTGTTGTTCGCTTAGACCCGCGCTAGTACACTGATCATGCGACCTGGTTCATGTGTCATGTAAACTCATGACACTCGTTCCTTAGATCAACAATAGCAATTGCCAATATGCCCATCCTCGTGGCTCTATATATTCGCAGCATCATTGTAAAGATGACTTGTGTTCTAAAGCCCACTATTGGCCAAAGTTTTGACTGTGGAGATTTGATAATGGCCTGAGTTCATAGCCAAGGTCTCAATTACTCTCTCTCTATGCCCAGGTGCTCTATTTCCTCTGCATCCTTGCTGGCTTCTCCGCTGCCTACTGGAGGGACAATGACATATAAGAGCAGGTAAGGGAAAGTAGTCGAAAGCTCTTCTCAACTAGTTCCTATATGTTTAGCTTTCACATTATAATTTATAATCACTTAAAAAATACCTTCACGGCCCTCAATTCATGAAGTTCTCCTATTTATATTTATTAATGTCTACGCCTCTAATTATGTCTAATATTATTGACGAACCGCTTATATAGCCGCCGCATGGCGCCGATGTCGTCCCAAGTATGTGCATGAGCCCCTTGAAACTCACAGCTTGCCCCATTTCACCTCTTCCGTCCGTGACTTCCCACCTTCCTCAATCTTTCCAGAGGTGTATTTTGAATATCCAAACTAGCAGTTTCCTAAGCGCTATTGCAAATTGCCTCGCCCTGTTTGTTACTACCGCCAAGACCATGTCCACCAAGGGCCTTCTCTCTAGCTCGCCCGAGATTCTGATTCAAATCTTTGCAAGCTGCGATACCTTTGTAATCGTGCGTCAAGACTTGCACTAAAGCCCCTGCGTCCCTGCGGGTTTAGTGCGTATCAGTGATGCGGTCAAAAATCAGCGATACGGTCATTTTTTTTAGAATACCAATTTTCGGAATTTTGGTGAAAATCAAAGAAAAATATTTTACAGTTTATATAGAGTTTATACTATAATTAATAAATGAAATTCTCTAATTTTCATATTATATATATATATATACTAAAAAATAGTAGAAATATTATATACTTTACCTTATTAGTAATTCCTTTAAAATACTACTATTTTAAGAAATTAATTAATTATATACTAACTATATTCTTACTTATATATCTAATAATTATTTCCTCTCTATTAATACCTAATCTAATTATATTACTAAAGCTATTATTATAAAATAAAGAGAGATTAGATAATAGCCTAATAAAACCAAGCTTTCTAGCTAGCTATTCTATTTATATATTACTAAACTTACTAATTTACTTCTTTTTATATCCAGAAGAAACTAGTTTAAAATCTATTTTATTTATATAAAAAAGCTTTATTCTATAATTAATTTTTTTCTATTTCTTCTATTTTTCTATTAACTTTTAATAATAAGCTTTAAAACTAGTTTTATTATAATTAATAAATAATAGTTCTTCTTTATAGTTAAAAGACTCTCCTAAATTATATAAAGCTTTTTCTTTATAAATATATTTTCTATATAAAAGCTTACTAGTAATATATTTTATAATATATATATTAATTTCTCTAATTTAGTAATTTAGATAAGTATTATTATCTATTTTATTTATAATAAAAAGAAACTCTTTATAATAAGTAATTTAATATATAACTAAGCCCTTAGAAATAACTTTATACTTTTATATATATTTTTTATTATCTTTATCTAGCTTATTATATTATTTCTATAATATTACTTTTTTTTATAAGCTTTCTTTCTATAATTAGCTCTGCTCTAAATAGTTTAAATTTAGTTAATTTCTAATATATTTTCTAGAATCTTTAGAAACTAGATATAAGAATATATTCTTTATTATTTTTTATAAAAATAAAATAATTATTAAGATATTAATTTATATATATATTATATATTATATAATTTATAAATATAAAGAATTCTAGAAGAATTTTAATATTAGAAGAATTTATAGAAATAAAATTTTCATTTATTTATCTATTATAAAATTAGCTTATATTATTATATAAATCTATAATTAATTAATAAAATTTTTTTTAATTAGAATTAACCTAGCTTTTTATATATATACTATATAGTTTTATACTTTAAAAAGCTTATTTTAGTAAAAGTACTAATATATAATAAAAATTATATATTATATTTCTTATTTTAAAAATATAACTAGAAATATCTAGAAATATAAAGAATAATTAATAGATATTAATACTATAAATTAGAAAACCTTTATTAAGTTTATAAAGAATTCTATTTTAGATCTAAAGAATTATAATAATAATACTTTTACTAAATTTAAAAATATTAAATAATAGTTAGGCTAGAATATCTAAAACTTTATATTTTATTTAAATAGTTTATTAGATAATTTAGGATATATAAATTTATTATAAGAATAAAATAACTTATTTAATAACTTAAAATAAAAGATTTAAAACAAAATTAATTATTAAAGAAATATTTTATAAAAAAGAAAAAAGCTTATTTCTATAATTATAAGAATTAAGAATAATTTAAATCTATTAATTTAATAAAAATATAATAATAATTTAATAAAATAGTAAAAGAAAAAAAAATAAAAAAATAAAAAGAAAATAATAAAAGAAAATAAAAAAGAAATATATTTCTATTATAAGATTTATAAAACGGAAATAATAAAGATATAATAATAGAATCTAATATAATACTTATATTAGAATCTATAAAACTAAATATATTTTATTTTATTTACTAGAAAAAGAATTATTATATTATTATTTATTTAAATTAGAAAAAACCAATTTATTATAACTATAATAAATCTAGCTATAAATTATATAAATATCTAAAATTAAAAAAGCTAAGAAATAGATATATTTTATAATAAAAATAATAATTAAAGTTATTATTAAAATAAATAAAAATAAATAAAAAATAAAAATATTAATTAATTCAAATATAAAAACCAATTATATAAAAAAGAAATTAGCTTTAAATATAAATATTTTATTAATATTAAAAGTAATTTCTTTATTTTTACTAGAAAAAAAGAAAATCTATTTATATAAAAATTATATTTTTAAAATTATTATTAAAAATATATTAGAGAACTAAAAGAAAACTAATATATATTTTATATTATATAATTTTAATCTAAATTATATTAATATAATATTTGAATTTCTATAGTTTTACTAGATTAATTCTTTAATTTTCTTTAGGAAAATAATATAAAAATATTAAATTTAATTATAGAAAATTAAAGTTTTAAATATTAGAAAATTTATTAAAATAATAAAATATAAAATATATTTTTTTATTAATTATTTATTTGTAATATATATAGGGTCGCACGTGACTTAAGAGTATATAACGAACCTCGGATATTACAGGTATTAATTAGGGAGATTAGCGGCCCTTTAATACTATAACTAACTACTATTTATATTATATATATTAGGCTTATAAATTACTAATTATATATATATTATTAGGGCCTTCTATTTAGAGGGGGCTTTCTTGAACTTTATAGAAGAAATAGAGATTAGTTTTATACTAAATTTAATACCATAATTTTATAATATATTAATTTATTCTATTATCTTATTACTTACTAATAAATACCTTATAAGCTAATTTCTTTACTCTTAAAAAAGGTAGTTTAATAAGTAATTATATCTCGAAATCTATAAAATATATAATTCCTTACTAAAGCTATTTCTATAGAGGAAGTTAACTAGATTAACCCTAATACGGGTAATAGTAAAGGCTTATCTAATACTTTTAATAGGGCCTTTTAGGAGCCTCTGAGAGCTAGTAATAATAACGGAAATAATTCTAGTAATAATTAAGATATCGAGATTAATATTCGAGTTACTATTACTTAAGCTATAGAATAGGGCTTATATACTAAAGTTAAAGCATTCTAATAAAAGCAAGAATTAGTAAATATAATTAACTAGTATATCCTATAATTAGAGTAATATAAGAGTATTCTTAGGGATATCTTATAGTTTATTATATCTTATAGAAATTCTATTTGTGAGTTTACTTTCTTTTTCTTAGTAATTTTTACTAGAGAACTTCCTAAAATAAAGTTAGAATTCATTTCTTTTCCTAATATAATAAGCTTTAAGAGTAATCTTAATACTATTTGTTAGAAGCTATTATATAATATCCTAAAGATATATTTAGACTAAGAGAAGCTTTTTAAGGTCCGGATACCTGACTTATATTATAGAAAGTTCCTTAAGAAATAGAGAATATTTGTATTTTCCTAGAAAGTAGTTTTTAGGACCTAACCTTAAACTTATAATAGATACTTTTCTAGAATTAACTTTACTATAAGTATTTTTAGGAATAAATCTTATAATATTTGAGAAGCTATAATAAAGTAAAGCCCACTATTATATAAGGTCTATTAGAAGTAATTTAAGGCCTACTTGGCTAATATATTTTAAGTACTTTAAACCCGTTAATAAAATACTTTTAAGGAGCTCTGAGATCTTTATTAGAAGAATAGTAAGATAGTTACCGAATTATATACTCGGATAATTAGTCT